TGTAGAAGTACTAGACAAAACCTTGTTAAAAATTAATTTCACGATTAAATTTTCACTTTAATGGATAATATAGTAAACATGAAGCATTTTATTCTTTAAAATTTTTAAAAACATTATATTAGTATCTAACTCTTAGTCTATTATTTTAATTATTTGAGTCATACATCTTAAACACATAATAATACAATGTTAACATATTATATGGAGTGATATGTGTAATTTATTATGTAACAAAAATAATATAGTATATTGTGTGATATATATATTTTTATTTTATTTTAATATATTAAATTATTACACATAAAATATTTTACTTTTTAAATTTAAAATTATTATTTATTAAATATTTTAGTTCTTAATTTTTAAAATATTTTATTTAATTATTATTATTCTTTAATACTATCACCATCGGCTATTTTTTACATTTCTACATTTTTTTTGACAATTTTTTCAAGTTTCTCTATAAAATAATATGGTTACCTATTAGAAGGTTAAATATATCAATGTTAAAAACTTTAATAGAATGAAAAATATTAAATTTAAATAATTATCCAGAAATCCGCAAGTGGAGGAAAAAATGACACGTAAGAGTGAAGATAAAAAGAAATTGACAGAAAACTTCAAGTTATTATTAATGAAAATAAAGAGTAGCAGTAATATATAATTATTTTTTATGAATTTTTACTAAAAATTTATATATTTCCAAACAACTTTTAAACAAGTAATATTTTTTTATATTATTTTTCAAATTTGTATACTCGTATTTTTTACTAACTTTTGATAAAACAAACCTTTTTGAAGAATTTTATTTAATATACATATTTTAAAATTATATAAAATAAAATAAATAAATTGTATTAATAAATAATTTTTTAAAATATAAATAAATATAAATTTGATATACATAATTATTAAAATATTAAATTTCCAAGTTTGACGCTGTCAATTGATATGACTTTTTAAAAAATATATAATATTAGCCATGATCAAACACGTTCCTCGCGTGCAGCACGTTGTATCAGTTTTGCATAATCATCGTTTAAGTAGGAGCAAATTAGCTTATTTTAGAAATGTTTAAACTATATTTTGTTATTTTATTTTGGTTTATTTTCATGTTAAGTAATATGTGTATATATATATAAATTATGTAATATACATTAAAATATGTTGATCTTAGTAGAGTAAAGCATGTGCTATGGTGTTTAAAGTCCAGTTCATACTAATTTTAGCAGTTCAAAGTTGGTTTAGTGGTTTGAAGACGGATTCCTTAGTTACCGATTTTAAAAGGTTCGAGCCAACCGATTACAGAGAATTGACTAATTCGATGTCGTTAAATTTCTTAAAAAATATATTATAAAAATTAATATTTTTTCTTTTAAGTTATAAATAATTTATTTTTAAAATTTTTAAAAAATTAGAAGAGAACTTCAATATATATACATATATACACACAAATTTTTCTAATCTATAAAAAATTATTTATTTTTTATTCCAATTTTTAATAAATAATGTAGTTTAATCATTTATTATTAAATAAATTCAAGTATTGAAAATTGTAAACTACGATATAATACTCAAATCAAGAAAAATAAAGACAGCAAAAAATAGAAGAATAATTAGTTTTGGGGTTGATATTTGAAGAACTATAAATATCTTCTTCTCTTTTAAATATAAGACTTACACGTGTTTACATATTACGGCCCACATTCCTAATTTTGTGATCTCTAAATCCACGCGACACTCGTACTCGACTCCTCTCAAATCTTCTATTTTAACTTTTATTTCGGTTAGATATTTTAGATTTTAAGCTAAGACATAGTTAATAAAAAATTATGTTAAATAATATGTATAATTAATTGCTTTATAAAAATAATTTTATATAAAAAATTATATATGTTTTTATTTTATTTTTTAAATTATTATATATTAAATATTTTTTCAAATTTATTCATAATAAATTATTTTTTTTTATTATCACTTTAACACTCACTTGGGTCGAGTTAGTCTCTTTAAATTTTTGGATTTTTTTGTTTTAAGGATTTTGAACTGAATAATTTCGTTCTTGAAAGTTACACTCTGGATTGTTTGCCAATTTTTTCTTCTGCAATTTGACTTAATTAGTGAACTTCATTTAAGATTTTTTTTTCATTGATGAATAAATAAGTATTTATCATACCTGTATTCTGTAGTATTGTGACATGACATTGATATTTTTTATACAATAAATAAACTAATCAATTTATTCAGTGTAATGGGAAAACTACACTTACTAATTTAAAAAGCAACTTAAATTTAATATATAATACAAGGATAGATGATTATATTTTAAAAAAAAAAATTCTAGTTGAAGCATAGGATGCTCCAATTTTTTTGGGTGGACCAAGTTCCACCAACTTAATTCATTAGAAGATGGGGGGGGGGGGGGGGGCATGGGTAGTTGGCCCTTGGCAGGTAGTGCTATTGATATTTTTATTTGTTTATTCATTTTGTCTGTTGATAATATTCTTGAGATTATTATTATTATTATTATTAATGTAATTTGAGTATTCTTTAATTTATTTATCATCTCAGAATGTTAATTTTTTTAATAATACTTTATTTATTAAAGACAATTTTAATCAACCAACTATTAATATAATTTTAAGATTAATCATTACTTAACTATTATAATAAATTTAACATTTTAATAGAGATATTTTGGTTTGATTATTTTATTTTGTCATCCTACCTAATAAAATCAACCTTTTTATCGACATATGTGTGCATTAGTATCGAATGAAATGAAAAAATCATCATTCCTCATCATATTCATAGTTACTCTTTATTTATTCCGACCACTAATTAATATTTCTTTGCTACCGCTGCCGGTTAATTTCTATCAAAAATAAAAAAATTTAAATAAAATGTCAATAGTAAATTATATGTCTTGAATTAAATTTTTAAAAACTAAAAAATCATAAAAATTAAATTATATATTTCTTTTAGAATAAAACAAAATTTCACTTCAAGCAAACTCTGATATGTATCTTTTTAGAATACTTCTCTTTTCATGCTTACAAGAATTGTTGATTTGTATGGTACTATCACATAATTTGAACAGGGTAATAGATGGGTTTAGGTGGATTCGGACTCTAATATTTAAAATTGAAGGAATCAATTTTATAAAAGTTTAAGATTGTTTCTGTCTGAATCTTCTCTTAATGAATAAAAAGTGGAGCATAAAGTATAAAAAAACATACTGTATAGACAGTGTGTTTCTTTTGTAGAAGGTTAATTGTGAATCAATAAATGTTTATGTTTAGTTTCTTGTACTTTAATTGTTATGATCATATGCAGCAAAACACTCCTTATCATGTGAGTAAATGAATACAACCTCTTTTAAATTTCAGATCAATTTTATATTACTGATATTGTTAGTCGGTTGAAATTGTGTCTTTGTCGTTATTGATATTTATTAAATTAATCAATCAAAAATTAATATTAGTTAGTCAATTAATATGTGGTCATATTATTCGTGAATTAATGAAACTAAGAATTAATTTGAGTTTTAAAATTATAAAAATTAATCTATCACTTAAAATGAATTTAACAAATTTAAATGTTACTAATGCTTTTATTTATTTGTTATTATTTATAATTATTAAACTAACATATAACTAAAAAGTCTACAATAACTTTATATTCATTTAGGTAGTTGTAATGATTGTTTAAATTATTAGTAATTGGTGGAACATAGTTAAATAAAACTAATTCAGAGATATACAAGTAATCATAATAAAAATCTGAAAGCTCTTAACGGTAAAATTAAAATAACAGTAATACATGCTTCCGATTATAATATTTGTATAACAATATTGGAAAAATTTAAAACACTTTCTTTTTATCATAATTGATGAGTACACTGCTTGTATGTCAGAATTTTTTTTTTTAAGAATTATAAAACCATAATAGTGTTATAACTCTTTAGAAGTAAATTTGTCTATAAAGTAAGTAAATAAAAGGTATTTACTATTTATTTAATTTAAAATACATGATAATGCTAACTCATAAACATTCAAAGATAAATAGTTACTTATTCTATTATCTTGTAAAAAGATTAAACTCAAAATATTTTTTTACTATATTATTTAAAATTATATTTTTTAAAACTATCATTAGTTTATATATTTGCAAATATTTAAATTATATAATTTTTTATCGATCATATTAATGACAATAGTAAAAAATTAATAGTTAAATTCACCTTTAATAAGAAATTATAAAAAATATTAGTTTACTAAATTTAAAATAAATATATCAAATGAGCATATTTAATATTATACAAAATTGTATAAATATCCAAATGAGAGGATGGATATTTACTTCACGTTATCTATTAAATATACGTAAAGCATGAAGATAAATATTCTTACTATATCCAAAAAGAAACTTTAAATTTATACATGTTAATTATAAAGTTATGTTATAGACATTTATATTATATATAAAAAATTTAATATACTACATATATTTTGATTTATCTATTTAAAAGGAAAATAAAAAAATGATTTATCTTTTGGTACATAGATTTAAAATAATATTAATTTATTAATACATTTTTTTGTCTATGTGAAATATTTATATTATTTAAATATTTTAAGAATCAAAAGATGACCTTTAGCAAAAGACATATAAATTTAACAATTAATTATAATAAATTAATTATTTCTATTGGTATATAAATTATTTTTTTCTGAACAATAAATAAAAATGAAAAAAAAACGTATTATAAGAATAAATATTTGTAGTTTAAATCACATATAAATTGTATTTCAAAATATTTGTTTATTATAAAATAATTATATAGTCCGTACATTATCCGAATTAATAATGAGTTAATAAATAGAGTGACGTGTCAGTTTATCTATCTCAAGAATTTAATATATAAAATTGGTGCTCCTTCTCAACAAAATAAAAAAGATCTATATAATGCGCACTCCGAAAACTTCTTATTCAATTCAACCAAATCATCTTTCAATTTCCTTCCCTCCAATAACTCAGTGCGCGCACACACACACACACAAAACAACGATCATGTTTGGTTCAGTTGCATCTAAAGTTACTTCAGCTGCTTCTAAAGTGGCTAGTAGTGTGCCTGTGCCTGTGCCTGTTACTACTAAACAGGAGACAAGTTTCTCAGAGGCTGAAGCATTCAAACATGTCAATGCTTTCTCTCAAATGGCCTCTCACCCTGGTGCCTCTTCTCATCAGAATCCTGCCCTTCAGGTTATTTTATCTTAATCTTTTCATATGATATAACATACATTCACGGTCCTTCATACTGTCACAGTTAATAAATGTACATATATGTGTTTTAATTAATTAATTACCATGGATGCTTGCAACTAATTGCAGTATGTTTTGAAAGAGAGTGAAAATATTAAGGAAACAGCTCACGGGGACTTGAAGGTTGAACTGGATCTTCTCCCTGCAATCTCTGGTGGATCGGATCAGAAGCATGTCGCTCTAAAATTTTTGCCAAAACATGAATCTGAAGTGAAGAACAAATCTATTCTGGTCTCTGCTCATGTTGACACTGTTTTTTCAGAGTATGCTTTCCTTCATTTGCTTGACATTAATGTGATCCGATTCACTCGCATAATTTTTTTTACATGTTTGTCTGTGATTATGAAGTTGATTTGTTCGTTATTATAAAAAAAAAAATTCATATATTTTTTTTCTAAAGAAGAGATTAGGATTTTGTTTTTTTCAAGTATTTTTAACATAGGTGAAGAGAAAATGGAAGAGACATAAATAATTATACACAATGTTTCTTTTATTGGAACTGTTTTTTTTAAATGGAAAAACAAAGTTTCTTTTATTGAAAATCCAAATTAGTAATAAGATTAAATATATTTTTTATTTTTAAAATTTTCAATGATATTTTTATTTTTATTTTTATGTTTTCTAAAACGGAAAGTTTTTCAATTTAATAAATGAAAATGTTTTAATAATATATTACTGCATGAATTGATGTTTAACGAGTTTATAAAAATTAGCTTGTAACATATATAAGTTTTTCAAAATTTTATTATAATAATTTTTTTAGAATAATTCATTAAAATAAGTAACTTTTTTTTAATGAACTTTATACCGTAAATCTATATATAAAAAATATTGAATAAATATTTAATTAAGTTGTTTAATCGTATTCATTCTATTAATATAAAAATTTAAACTTAGCGTAAAAATAAAATTACTTTAAGTTTACTGTATTTGATGATTAGAAGTTTTGTGAATTAAATACATATTATTTGCTAATAAAAGTATAAAATTGAATTAACAGAGATGCAAATGACAATTCAAATGTTGCTGTTATGCTGGAACTTGCTCGTGGATTGTCTCATGCTCATAGTATAAAGAATCCTGTTATATTCTTTTTCAATACTAGCGAGGAGGAGGGTCTTGATGGTTCTCACAGCTTCATCACTCAGGTCTGGAATCATTTGTCAATATATATATATATGTATATATATATATATATATATATATATATATATATATTTTAATAATAATAATAATAATAATTATTATTATTATTATTATTTCACATGAAATAGTTGGAGTTGGTCAGTTGGAGATAGTTTTAATTAATTACTGACCTACAGATGTGATTGTGTGTAGCATGGAAAAATATTTAAATTCACCTTATAGATTTACTTAAATGATATATATATTATGTTATCACATAATAATAAAATATAATATTAACAGACCAGTTGGAATAAGTTAAACCCACGTAAGAAATTGAATTTATTACATCAAAGTTGCATTTTGATAATGAAATTAAGAGAGTTTTAGAGGGTTTCTTTAATTTCCTTCTCTTTCTTTCTCTTGTTCTGCTTTTCAAATTTTATGTTTCATTCTTCCATACATCTTCTTTATCATTGGAGCAGTTATTATGATAATTTATCATTATTTTATTATTAAAAGAAATTTGTTATGCAGCATCCTTTTGGTGAAACTGTTCGTTTGGCTATTGATCTGGACAGCATTGGCTTGGGAGAGAAGTCTAGTACTTCTGAGGTATGCTATCAAAGTTGACTATAATCAGTATTTGATTCCCAATGTTATTTGCAAATTACTTCTGTTTTTCAAATCAACAGAATTATATGCGACCACATGGGTTCGGGTCTGCAACTTTGGCTTGCAAAATCTTTGCATAACATGGAGGTTAAACATATAGCTTTAAATATTTAAAATCTATCTTACTTAACTCACTAAACAAATTTTTTTTAAACTGTTTTACTTATTTTAACTTTAAGCTCCAATATATCAGAAAAATGGTAAGTAACAATTAAAAATGGGTTAGCTAACCTTTAAATTTCATTTAAATAAATTAGTTCAAGCATTTTCATAATAAATAACTTAATAAATTTAGTTAATGTTATTTTTTATTATATATCTATTGTAACTTTAAAATATTTATAAAAAATGTTTCTAAAACAATTTTATAAAAGAAAAAAGAAAAATGTTAAAATGTAAATTTTTTTTATAGTTAATACTCAATAATATTATAAAATAATGTGTTATAAAATTATATAAATATAAAATGTAACTATGATTTAATAGTTATCAATAATACATGAAAAATGAGATAAATATGTAACTTAATTTGACAATTAATTAATATATTTTATTTAATATTATTCAATAATAATATTCATTCTAAATATTAACATCATACAAATTTAATTATTTTTTCAAATAATTTTATTCATCTATAAATTTATAATGAAAAATATATAAAATAAATATTTTTAATAAATAATAATAATTTTTAAAAATAATTAACTTATAATTTATTGTTAACTCACTTAATTTTATGGACTTCTTAGTTCATATAAACTTTTGACATAGTCAATTTTTTTATCCTAATATACATAAATTAGAACTAAATTAGTAACAACTAGTCTATTTGACAGCTCTAGTTAAATAATTAAACCTGTAAATTTGTAAGTTAATCTACAATCATAAACTCATTTATTTATAAGTTTATGCAAATTTTAACTGTAAACACGTTTAATTTCTAGCTTTATTACTTTAACCCATTTAATTAATGACGGCCATAGGTAAGATGCTGCGGGATAGACCCACATACCTCCCTGTAGATTGGATGTAGATACCATATTATGATGTCATAATTTGTTTTAGTTGGATGAGTAATATCATGCAAGTCGTTTATGTGAAAATTCTAAAAATAAAATAAAATAAAACTTAACTTGTTTAGGAAGGTGCAACTCATGAACAAATTATTATTGCTTTTTAATTAAGCTTATTTTTTTTTATCTAATTTAATTCAAATTTAACTCAAGTTACGCGTTGAACGTGGTGAATAAATCTATTATAATAAGCTTATTTTCGTTTGTGTGGTGTTTTGCTGATGTATTTATGCATATAATAATGTGAAATGAAATGGGTTTTAAAAAATGAAAATTAATTAGCTTGAATATTATCTGCAACGATTGTTCTTGTCATAGTTGACTTGAAGCCTTGTTTCTAAAAAAATGACCGCCCTTGACTTTCACTATATGTTATGTTGAAATATTGAATATGATTTTTTTATTAAATTCTAAACAGAATGCAGTGAAAAAATAAAATAAAATCTTCACCCCATTTTAATTGTGTTGTTAGAAATAAAAAATAAAGTTATTTCTCGGTGACTTGGGCTGTACGGTTTTTCTATGTTGCATTATCCCACTTCTTATATATGAATCTTCATTCATTGAGACTTTGAAAATAGGGATGAAATATATTCATCCGATCTCCAAATTTATTTAGTTTGTTTATTCTGTGAATAATTTAAGTTCATGTCACTTACAAGTTTGGTGTTTCTATTTAGGATAGTGGATTAAAGGATGCTTTTATTACCTTATTTGACATGGAGAAAGAAGCTCAGGTATGGACTTACTTGTGAAATAATTAATTTTTTATTGGATTCTCACCCGTTTGAAGACTAGGTTTCAATCAATTACTGAATTATAAGAGTTAAGCCTTGGTTGAATTAAATCTAACTTAGATTATAATGGTTTAAAGAAACTATTAAAAACAAGTTTCTAAACTATGTCTCAAATTTTTTAGTCCGTTTCACTTTTTTTTGTTTTGTCATGCTTATAACTTCATAAAATTGAAAATTTAACAATATTATCATATTTTAAACGTAATTTCAAATGCACGTTAAATTCCATTTAAAAAGATGCATGTGGACTCATAACTTTAAAATTGAAGGTTTTGGTGCATAGTTGGTAGGATTTGTACTCCTATCAGATGTGTGCATGTATTCACTCTTTTGTTGTTCTATATTTAGAAGTTTTCTGAAGTGCACATAGTGCAGAATAATCCTTATGTTGCCTGTAAAATAAATTTACAGATGCAGAGATATGTTCTTGATTTGGGCGCCTATTCCACTTATCCTCGAGGGTCTATAACTACTCAGGTCTGGTTGCTGTTCACAATTTAATCATATCGAAATTTTAATGTTATTCATATACGTCAAGTGATTGAAGTTTTTAAAAGTTAGACTTAAAATCTTTCGTGCATTAAGGATATGTTCAACAAATATGTAGCTAAAGTTTCAAGAGATTGCACCTTGTTTTTTGGTTGAATTTTTCCGTTGAGGCAGATATTTTTATATGCCTTCACATTATTTTGAGTTTAAGTTAAAATAACTAATAACTCAACTTGAAATAACTTTCCAATAAATTAATTATTTTAAGAGATAAAAATAAAAAAATAAACTGAATATTTTGCATAATTTAAAATTATTTTTTATTTTTGAAAAATATTTTCACTTGATTTATCTAAAAGCTAAGATGAATTTTTAATTTATGAATTTTTTTTATTTTTTATTTTTTATTTTATAAATATTTTTTAAAATTTTGTTTTAATGGAGTTTGCTTATAAATCTCATAAACTGGATCAAATTTATGACTGACATAAATTTTATATAAAAAATATTAAATAAATTATACATTAAAATATATCTTATGGATGTGTCGTATATGGCTAAAGAGACTTGTATATTCAATTAAATGTATATAGTATTATAAACTTTACTCATAAGAAATAGTGCAAGGGCTTCCTCAAACCCTTATTACCAATATGGCTCGGGCCGTTGAAAAATTCCCATTGGGCTTACTTTATTTCGTGACTTTGTTTAACCGATGTCTTTGATGAATTGATAAATTGGAAAATATTAAAAATTACTTTAAAAAATTCGTAAAATATACAATGAAAATATATTAATAGAAAAATTTAATTTCTTAGAAGACTGATTAGTATTTGTCTAATTTTTATACACAATTATTATATCATTGGTTTTTATTTTCAGTTTTTTTTAAGAAGCCACATAAACTAACCGGAATCATTGCTGCAGGATCTTTTCGCTTCAGAACTTATAGCTAGTGCACCAGATTTCAAACCAATCCAACCTAACAGAGGGCTTTCTGGCCTTGAATTCGGATTTGAAGACCGGGGTGTTACACACCATGCCAAGGTTTCCTTCTGTCTCCATGTTTTACTTAATATTCAGACTGTTTTTTTGTTCTGCATTTTATTTCCAAACAATGTCGAGGCCCAACAATGTCTTCGAAAAAACATGTCCACATTAAAATGAAAGTAAGAAGAAAAGTTCATAACCACTTAATAAATGAAGGTGTATTATGCATTGACGTGGCTCAAGTTATTACAAATAATTAATTATTAATTTAACTTGACTTAATATGATTTAGATTTTTGTTAATCTCAGCAGGTTGAGTTTAAGCATTTACAAATAATTTTTTTTTATAAAAAAGATATATAATTATTGTATTGAAGTTATAAAAATATAATAAATATTTCTCTTTCTAATAAAATTTTACTATTATTATCTGTTTATTTTTTGCCATTCAACCTTAAGGATTGAAGTTAATAAAATCTTATAATTTATTGTAGTGAAAGAAATAATGCTTTATTCAAATATTTGCATATATGTAATAATAGTAATAATAATAATAATTTATGTTTTTCCTTCACAGAATAAAACTCTGAAGCCAGGATCTCTTCAACATCTGGGAGAGAACACGCTTGCTTTCTTGCTTCAGACGGCGACCACTCTGGATACTAATTAAAAGTTTAAAATTTATTATTAGTTCTTATATTTAGTAAAAACCTGAAAATAATATGATTTTAGTTCCTTATCTTATTGAGGACTAAAAACCTATGGTTTTTGTAATTTTTAAGAACTAAAAATAAGGAGTGCAGAAGTTGAAGATGTGTTAAATAAAAAATGACTTATGTGTTGTGTATATTAAAGTGTGATGGATAATAAATATTGGAAAGTTTGAGTGTTGAGATTTATGTGAATTTATGTTTTTGCATGTATCAAAACAGTCAAATCTTTGTGTTTAATTGCAACCTTTGAGTGAAAGAAATATTTGAATATGTGTTTAACCAATAACTTTACAAAATTGTAATAAAAATATTGGCAATCAAACAAATATTTCACTGTGGTTAAGAATGTCAAATTAATATTTATTTAAATTCCAATAAATTATGAACATATGAAAAATAATTTAAGAGAAAGAACTTTACAATTGCTTTGCTCCACTATTTGCAATATTACATTTCAAAGTTTTATGAGATGAAAGCCACTAGCAAAAATCAGGTTTTTAATTTTGAAAAAAGAAACTTTATTGGCATTGACCTAATCAAAATACATTGTTAGAGTAAAAGTTTTTGAATCATCAGTAAGTACCTATGCATTAGAAAATTTAAAAAATATAAAATAAATAACATACTTAAAAGTTTTTAAAGCTACAACACAAGACAACATAGCTAATTTAAATAAAATTTAAAATGACAATTTAGAAATACTTCAAATTATAAAGCATACATGATTAATTTAAAAGTACATTCAAGTTAAGAATGTTGCATGTTATTTTTAAGAGAAGTAAAATAACATATTAAACTTCTTAAAAAATGTTTTAATTTAACATTTTAAACCGCCATACTTAAAATTATTTCACATTTGGCATAATTAATATGTGAAAATATTATTTATAAAAAAAGTAGCATTGAAAAGAATATGTAAATAAAATTAATTAATTTTGAATTGATTTTATAATGATTACAATAAAATCAATAATAAAAAATTCAATTTAGTTTATAAATTAATTAAATTTGTCATGTCACACTTGACATCATTTTAAATATAGATTTCAAATATAATAAACAATATAGTTTATCCATTTATTATTAGAAAAAAATTAAAGTATAAAACACTAAAACTATAACTGTTTCAGTGTTAGAATCAGAATAAAAAAAAAATTCAAAAACAATAATCACTTTTTTTTACAATATTAAATATATATATATATTCCTCTTCTTATTCAAATATTTTCACATTTTTTTTCAATCACAAGACATATACATGATTTTGTACTAGATGCTGCTGACTTGATTAAACTAAACTTGTGGATTTTGTAATTTTTAAATTCACACAATATATTCAAATTCTTTTATGTTCGGGCATGAACACTAGCTTTATGTTGATATTTGTTTAAGTAAATTTTTTTATTTACATTTTATTATAAACAATTTTGGACCATTAATGAAATGAACTATTTATTTATGTTTTGTTAGCATATATTAACTGTCTTTGGATGAGAGAAATTAAATATATAACAAATTTTGAACTATTTTAACATGTTTATTTTTGCATAATTTGTCATTTTTTCTGCATTATTTGCTTAAATTAATATTTTTGCTTAAGTTATTTGCAATTTGCTGCAATATCACAAAAGTTGGTTCAAGTGGTAGTTACATTCACTTAACTAGATCCTTATTAGCTTAAGCGCATTGGTGTAGGGATGGCAATGGGTAAAGTACCCAATGGACACCCGCAAAATTTACCCATAATGGGTAGAGTATTTATCCGCTATACGGGTACGAGTATGGGTGTGGGTAAAAATCCACAAATTTTAATGGGGATGGGTGCGGGTATGGGTATCTAAGTACTCACTCTGCCCCATACCCGCATATATATATATATATATATATATGCTTGAACTTTATTCTACAATTATGCATTAAATTTTTATATTATTATATTATTTATGTGAAGTTATATAAGATTAATATAAAAATATATTTAATAATAAAGTAAACCAAAAAATTTATTTTGGTTTATATTTTTAATAGAAAAATTTATTTACTATTTTATATCATTTAATTAGGCTAACACAATTTAATTATTACATAGTTAATATAAGATTGACTTTTTTTAAAATATTATTTATATATGACACACATAAAATATTTTTTACACAAATATTTTTGTTAATAAAATCATATTGATGTTTAAATCATAAAGTGAATGATAAATAATAAATATATTATAAATATTTTATAAATTTTACAATCACCTACTATTACTGTAAACTTATTATTTATTAATAATATTTAAATTTTATTTTTATATTTTAATTTAAAATAATATTTTTCTATGTAACATATGTATTACAAGCACAACTATAATCTATTGAATCTAAATAATATTATTCTAACTATTTATTCACATTCAAAGAAGTTTTTGAAAAGATATAAATATAAAAAATTATTGTTAATTTTTATTTGTTAATTTTTTAAGATAAAAAAGTATAATTTTTTTAATATACACGTATATTTCTTTATTATAAAATTTTATTGTAACTATTTATCTTTTATTCAAATTCTTTTTTTTTTAATTTATATACATTATAAATATTTAATTCACTAAAATAATTTTTCAAAAATTTATATTTTTGATAAAATACTTTCGTATAGTATATGAGTTAAAAAATACTAGTATTAATATATATATATATATATATATTAATTATATTACATTATTTTAATTAAATCTATTATTTTTCTTACAATTTCAAATTCAAAAATTAAAAAAAGTATTTTATGTATCAACTTTCTGTTATTAGTATTGAACTTGTCTACTTTAACTCTATTCTCATTCTCAATGTCTGTCTCACTAAAACTTAATAACTATGAAATGTTATTCATTAGAGTTAGTTGTTAATGCCGTCACAAGAGGTTATTAAGTGATTCTACACGAAGGGACAACCATTGTATAGATCTATTTTGTTGTCGTTTTGACATTACCAACAATCAAATCTCACACAAGATAGAATTATCACTGACAAATAACTTGTGTATTTAGTTTTTACTTATTGTTTCTAAGAATTTTAGTTTAGAAAATTATTATATTAAGATACATTTAACATTTATGATCTTTGAATATTTGTTTTTTTTATCTATATTTGTACCTTATTCGGCAACTATATATTAAATTTTTGTATTATTATGCTACTTATGTGAAGTTATATAAACATATTTTTCTTTATAAATATTTTTTTTCTCAAACAAGCGCGGGTAATGGGTACAAGACGGGTATGCGGGTACTCAGAGGGTACGGGTACGGGGATTAATATTCATACCTACGCGAGTGTGGGGTCGGATATGGGTATTTTTTTAAAACGCGGGTATGGGGATGAGTACTGTAGTACCCTACCCATTGCCATCCCTACATTGGTGCTCTCTGTCCTAAATTCATTTAATAATAATTAAATTTGCATGCTAATTTTATTTTCACTAAAACTAAATAAAAATTACTTAAGTGAGTACTTAGCATGAAATTTATGATTCTCTGTTCTAAATTCGTTTAAGAACAAATAATTTTGTTTGGGTAAAGTTGAGTAATTCCTGATTTGCTTAAGCTGTGTGTGAATTATTCAAGCGAACATTGTTTGTCCTCACCTATACTCATTTTGAAGCTTGAATTTTTAACATGTGTTGCTTAAACCAACAATGATATATTTAAGTGAAATTTTACTTAAATTCATTTAAGCTACTAAAAATTTGCTTAAACAAATATCAACATGAGACTAATATTTCTACCAAAACATGAAAGAATCCAAAATCCTCGTATAACACACTTATCTTCATATTTTTCTTCCAAATATTCTTTCAATTTTCTTGTCTCAAATTCACTTCTACATCCACCTAAACAGGTTCTTTCTTTATGAATATACCCTTAACTAATATAAACAACAGTAAAACTTGATTTATTATATTAAAAGAGTTAAAATAATTAATATAATTATAAAAATACAAATATTACATGTATGTTACACTTGTGTACATGTATGCATTATATATTATTTTTTATTTGGACTTTTGTTATTAATATTTAAACTTTAACTATTTGAATTTTAAAAAAATTATAAAAATATTTAAACTAAAAAAAGATTGGGAGAGTTTGCTAATACAGAATGTATATTTTTAATGAAATTTATTTAAAAGTAATGTAAATTTGATTAATTATATTAATATAGTTAAAATGATATTATATAATTAAAAAGTCATACATGCTGCACGCACACTGCACGCATCCTATTCTTTTAGTTAGTTAATGTTATAATTAGTATAACTAAAACTACTTTTGTTACAAAAATTTTATATTAATTAAAATTTAAATAATATTTTTAAAATATATTTTTCTTTTAAATTAGCTTTTGACATAATTTAGACTTAATTTTTTTAATATATTATTAAAATTTATCTAATTTAAATGTAGAATCATCTAAAAATATTTAATTTTATAAACTTTAAGTGCCAAATATTAAGTCTTATATATTTTTTTAAGAATAAATTAGGTTTAGTATTTTTAATACTTGTTTGCATAAAATTTAAAATAAAAATGTAAAACTTATAATATAAAAATGGATGATTAATTTAAAAATACATTAAATTCCTAAAAGTAAATTTTTAATTTGATATTTAAAAATATATTACTTAGAATTATCCAACATTTGGTATATTTAATATGTACACAATATTATTCATAAACAATTTGACATTTTAAATAATTTGAATAAGTAAACAAATTAATATAATTTGAATTTATTTTATAAATATGATTACCATATCAAGGATAAAGATTGTAATTTATTTTATAAAAATAAATTAATAAATTTTGTCACATCACATCTAACAGAATTATAAATACACAGATTTTAAATTTAATCAATAATGCACTTTTAACAATTTGTTATCAAGTATACATTGTAAACTACAACTGTGTCAAATCAGAATCAGAACGATACTCAAAGCGAGAAAAGATGAAGAAAGCGAGAAGAAAAAGGAACAATAATTGTTTTTGATAATATTGAAGTACTATAAATCCCTCAGTTACACAGATTATAGCATGAAACACCTCTCTTCAAATATAAGACTTACACATAGTTCCATACTAGTACTAGGTGTCATTATATCGATCAAACTATGCACTTGTGAGTTCGGCCATCTCTAAATCCAGGCAACACACTCATTCTCAACTTCTTCGTTCCTCCAATTGACTCCTCCATCTGCGTACACAGGTTTTTTCATTCTGATTTTACTCGTAACAATATAAATTACTCTTCTTCTTGTGACTTTATGTGCTTAATTAGTTGCGCGATAATGGGTATAATTTGGATTTAAAGGTTCTGTCTTGTTTTTCCTGTGGAATTTGGCTTAATTTGTGAAACCCATCTAAGATTTTTTAAATGTTTTTCGGTTGATCAATGAATAAGTATTTGTCATCCCTATCTTCAGTGTTATTGTGACATGACATTGATGTTCTTTTTCACAATTTTGAGCAGGTAACTGCACCTAAAATTTGTTTAAGATGAGGCAGAGGCGTGAAACTGCTTCAGCTGCATCAAAAAGGTCAAGCAGTGGTGAAACAAGTGAGGAGTATAGTAGTAATGGTGTTGAAATCAGCACCAATGTTCATGTTGGAAATCCAAGGAGGTCTTCATTTGTGTGGCTGGCCTTGTTTCTCATAATCACTTATTGCTGTTCAGCTGTTTATCGTTACCAGTATCAGAACTTGCCTATGCCTCTCACTGCAGAACAGGCTGGTAAGAGGGGTTTCTCAGAGATTGAAGCATTCAAGCATGTCAAGGCCTTGACTGAGGTGGGCCCTCATCCTGTTGCCTCTGAAGCACTCAATCTTGCACTGCAGGTTGGCTCCTCAACTTTCTTAATGTTTTCCACATAGTTGTTCTTACTTTTCATTGATTCCTTGGATCACAAGAATCAAGAGTAAGATGTAGTGAACTTCATGAAATTTACAAATAGCTATCCAATTGATTGTGGTCATTTATTAGTCCACTATGTGTAAATTATACATTATTTTGACAAGTTTCCAACTGCAGTATGTTTTGTCAGCATGTCAAACTATCAAGTCAACAGCTCACTGGGAGGTAGAAGTTGAAGTGGATCTTTTTCATTCGAAGTCTGGTGCAAACCGTCTGATCAGTGGCTTATTTACCGGGAAAACACTTGTTTATTCGGATCTAAGTCATGTTGTAGTAAGAATCTTGCCGAAATACCTATCTGAAGCAAGAGAGCAATCTATTCTGGTCTCTTCTCATATTGATACTGTTTTCTCAACGTACGTTTTCTTCATCTAATTGCTGTCAATCATTGCTTTTGTCTGCTTTTAAAATGATGTTACAGATTATTGGGATGCAATGCATTCATATAATCGTGTGTTGTTGTGATGAAATGGAGAGAAATTGAAACAATAATATTGCTAATAGTACTTTCAAGTATTTACCAAATACACAAGTACCCCAATTTGGTTAAGACAAACCTTAATGTTGGATGCAGTATGGTAAAATTCAGAATTCTCTAGAAATGAATTTATTATTGATTAATGAACTCAGTAGTGGCTTCTTATATTTATACAGAGAACTACGTGTTACTACAGATAGTGATCCTAGCTGACACAGTTAAGACACAACTAACATAACTAGCAATCCAGCTCTTAAATTATTTCATGTATACGGTATACCAAAAATAAACATATATCTAACAGCACATTTTCACTATGCATTAAAAGGAAATAATGATTTGTTGAGAGGTTGCATTAAGATGGCTTGAGGTGCAACTGCTTTTAGTTTCATGTGAAATTTATGACTTGCATTCTATAGATCAAAAGACAAATATTATACTTAAGAAAACTTTCCTTTTTTCCCCATTGAACAACAGATACTTTTCTGTACATGAACCAAGAAATTGAAATTGTAATATGTTTACATTTAAATGTGGCTGATTATATAATTAGGTTGAACATTGACCCATTTCTTCTATGCATTTATTATTTTCTTATTATTTTTATTGTTTTCATTGTCATCATTACATAACAACTTATCAATGATTGAGGGAATGTTGGTCTGAGGCAATTAGCTTGGTTCCTTTTAAGCAAGATCTCAGGTTTCCCTTTTGTCGAAGAGCTTGGTTCCCTTACGTGGGCCCTCTTGGCCGGGTTCAAATTAGCCAGGATCTAAAGTGGCTTCTGAACACCAGGGGTCTTGAACCAAAAGAATATTACAAATTTAGTTTTAAAATGAAGAAACTAATTAAAAATAGTATCTCTAATGTAAAATTTCCAATTCTTTCTTTGATATGCTGATTTTGTTGTCTTGTCACTTGTGCATGTTAAAATTACATGCCTTTTCACATCTGTGATACATCATATGTAATTGAATATTGTTCAATAAGATTTTGATTACTATCCTTTGTCAATATAAAGCTTTTTTATAAGATCATCCAAGTATATGTTGCTGTGTTAGAGGCCAAAATCTTTCTGTGATTTGACATCCCATGATTGGATGATAATGAAAAGAAGTTTGAAACTAAAAGTGGATCAAAATTAAACTCACTAAATAATAATGTTATGAAGCATATTGGTCCTGGAATGGGATTGTAATAATTCAAAATCATAGCAGGGACAAATATAATAGTGTAAGTCATAGTGAAAAATATTTACAGTCTCAAGCTTTTCTAGTAAAGATCATTTTGCTAAAGTTTTTCTTCAGCCCTCCCTTATGCTACTTGTGCTCTGTTTCAGAATTTCCATGCAATCATGTAAAAGTGTCAGCTCTGAATTTTTTTCTTTGGTGATATTTGATTATTTGAAGTTTTCCAGTTAGTTAAAGTCACTGTATTGTTTACTACTAAAAATATAACATTGATTTAACAGAGCAGGGGCAGGAGATTGCAGTTCATGTATAGGTGTCATGCTGGAACTTGCACGTGGAATTTCTCAGTGGGCTCATGGATTGAAGAAATCTGTTATATTCTTATTTAATACAGGTGAAGAGGAGGGACTTAATGGTGCCCATGGCTTCATAACCCAGGTATGGAATTATTTGTTAATGCATCTTTATATTGATTGGTTTTCTTATTTGCTTCTCAGCTGGTTTGAAGATGTGGTTTTTAATTTTACTGATTATAAGACTGATGTTGGCATTAGAAGAAATCTAAATTATAAATATTGGAGGGATTTTTATTGGCATCTAAAACATAAATGTTATATAACAATCCTTATCTCATCAATAAAAGAATTTTTTATGCAGCATCCTTGGAGAAAAACTGTTCGTATGGCTATTGATCTTGAGGCCATGGGCATAGGAGGGATGTCTAGTATTTTTCAGGTATGATTATTGATCGCTATAAAATTTAAATTTTCACAATTTACAAATTGCTTCTGTGCTTTTGCTCATTGAAACTGTTTTATCTCAGTCTCTTTTGATTGTACTTGGTCCTAATAACAGTGATATTTCTTTCTTTGTTGGTAAAACTCATGGTATTAGAGACTGTATGTCCTAATGGTCCTATGTTCAGTCTCCATTGCTTTCCTTCTTCTAAATAACACCTGAATTTCAAAACAAAGTTGAGTTGGCATGTGTATTGTCCATGCTTTAAGCTTGAAGGGTTCTTACAAGAGGGGGTGAGTTGGAAATAAAACCAATCTTGTGCATTCACTAAACTATTTAACTTTGAAGAAAATTAGCTATCGACATCTGTATATTCTTCATATTAATATTTTCAACAATTTAAGGTTTAAAAAAAAAAGTGTTGTACAGGAAGTTGCATGGCATGAACTGCATAGATTATATTTTTTTCTTTTCCCACATCCTTGTTATCTTTATATAAATGCCTTATTTTAAAGTATTACTAGCTGTCTCTTCTGCATGTTATGTCATTTTGAAAATTTATGTTTTATCTTTTAATACCAATATATTGAAAATGGGTGACAACATTATTTACGCCACTTTTCTGTTGGAAATAAAGTTGTTTTTCAATGGCTTGGGCTGCATGGCTTCCTGTGCAGTCTTATCCAAAACTTTCTAGGTTCTTCATTCTCTGATGAGATATTTTGATTAGAACTTTGAATGGCCACAGTATTGTTTACCTTTTCTGTACTTGTGTAACTTGAGTTATGTCACTAATTGCTCATTTTCACTCGGTTTTACTAATAAAATAAAGTGAAAAAAAAATAAAATTTCAATCTTCACTGAGTAGTCATCCGTTTTTGGTGGTTGTTCATGTGTCACGTTCAATCTTGATTGCTTTCTCCTTTAAAAGAAGGGAAAAGATATTGCACATTTGCAGATTAAAAATAATGGTTCAGTCTTCGTTAACCGAAATTTTGAAAAGATAAATTTATTCAATTATTTGATATCCAAATATATTAGGAATTAGGAAGTTAGGATAATAATTTGTTAGTTATGGGATTAGTTAGTTAAATAAATATAAGGATGTAAAGGGAAATTATTCATTCAAGTTTTGTATCTTTAAGAATTGAACTTTTGCTCTTTTATGGAAGGATAAATCCTTTGTGAAGAGAAACCCTTTGGATGAGAGTTCTCTTTCCTTTGTTTTGTTCTTTTGCAATCAATCAAGAAATACAATCTTTCTTTCCTTTTCTGCATTTTCTAATTTGTTAATTCTAATATTAAGTTCTTGGCTTCTTGCCTCTTGCTAATGGCTTTGGTTTTAATTTTAGGCTGGTCCTCATCCTTGGGCTATCGAGAACTTCGCTTTAGTAGCAAAATACCCATCTGGTCAAGTTATCGCACAGGTTTGCATGTTTCCTTCATATTATAGTTTTGTTCTTTACCGATTTTTTATTGATTACTTTTAGGCTTAGTTGCATTTTTGGTTTTTAACTTGTGTTTGTTCGAATTTAGTCTCTCAATTTTAATTTTGCGATTTTAGTCTCCCTATTTTCTTAATTGAGCAAATTTTGTCATTTTATTAAGCTATCATCCAATTTTTAATGACAACTGTACAATCTTCTTCCTCTAGTTAGAATTTGCCATTGTTGATGTAGCTCTTCTTCCTCCTCTCCTCCTAGCCGGACATTGGCAACAAAGCTCTTCTTCTTCTTTTCCCCCTAATTGGGCTCTATCATTGCCGATAGAGTTCTTTTTTCTCCTTTTCTCTTGGTCAGAGTTTTACTGTAAAGAGTTCTCTGTCTCTGCCAACATCCTCTCCCTCTACCACCTCTCCACCATACTCATTACATTTAGGAGATTCTTTGTTTTTTGGAACAAAGAGAACACAACATTGAACCTCTTCGTTGCTGATTCTTGTGTCATCATCGAAAGGCCATCGCAAAGAGACATTGGTGTTGAATTCTTTGCTAGGGACTTTGTTGATGGGACTTCCAATTTGTGCCTGAGGACAGTGAGATGCAGTGGAGGATGGTAACATGCGATTGAGGACAATAAGACACAGAGGATGTCGGAGATCTAGTAGATACAGTGGTGGCTGTGGGCAGCGATAGAGGAGGAGGAAGAAGTGGAGTCTGGGTAGGGAAAAGAGGAAGAAAAGCTCTGTTAGCAATGGTGGAGTCCAACTAGTGGAGAGGAGAAGCAAGAGCTCCATTGGCAATGGCAAATTCTGGCTAGGGGAAGAGGGAGTAGAAGAAGACTGTACAATTGCCATTAAAAATTGGATGAAAACCTTACAAAAGGACAGAATTTGCTTAATTACGAAAATAGAGAAACTAAAATCTTGCAATTAAAAATTAAGAGACTAAAATTGAACAAATAAAAAAATTGGGGACCAAAAATGCAATTTAGTCTTATTTTTTATTTTTAAATAATCACTTACAAGTCACATTAACCAATATTTAACCAATATTTATGCTCCAGGATCTCTTTTCTTCCGGGGCCATAAAATCTGCAACAGATTTCCAAGTGTACAAAGAAGTTGCTGGCCTTTCAGGACTTGATTTTGCATTTGTAGATAACACTGCTGTATATCATACCAAGGTTTCCTTCTGTTCTTATTGTTTTATGAAATAATTGGATTGCATTCTGTTTGGCATTTTATTGCAAACATTAAATTCATATTGTATCGGTTGAAAGATTGGGACTTCACAGAGCAACTCTTGAAGAGAGCTCTCAGTACAATAACAAATTCATTACTGAAGTTTGACTTGATTTGAAGTACTAAGCCAGTTGTGTCAAAATCCAAACTTAGTTGTCAGCCATGTGTTCCCCTACTTGAAAGTTATTTTTTGTGAATGAGATAAGAGATATGAAGAAGCAAAGTGAAAGACCTAGCGTGGATTGACCTTTTGCTGAATCCTATTACATTAAATACACTTTACGTTGCTCTTGTGGTGTTAGGTCACTGAAGGGGATTGGAGGCTTGTTTCTGCACAGCTGGTATTGAAGGTTGGGGATGGTAAATGCATGTTTCAGGATCATGTTGCAATAATGAGAATCCTTTAAATAATTCCCTGATTTTATTTATTTGGATTTCATAGAGAAGTTACTAGGCTAGTGGGCCATCAAGTGATGATGCTGATGCATATATTTCTGATTGATATTGCACATATTCTTTGCACTTAAATCCAAATATTATTTTTTCTACATAATTAAAATCAGTATGCTAATAGTTGAATGTGATTTACGTGCATATTCTTTTAATAGATTTCTTTGATCTAAGGAGATCTTGTCATAATATTTTTCAGCTACCTGTTACCACAGTTATATACAAATTTTTAGAACCTATAAATAATATTTGAACTTTGTATTATTACTTAATGGATGCATAACTTCAAATTTCCATCTCTTACTTTTATTATAAAGTGTATGATGGGACAGATGGGTAACTGGGTGATGTCATCTCTTGATATATTCCTTTTGGCCATTCAGGATTTGCTTTGAACTATTTCTTTAGTGTAAATAGTGTTTTCCGTGCAACCAGTTAGTAATTTTGCTGAAAATATGAATGTGCTGGAGTAAGTTATTGAGTAAATACGCAAATATTTTTTTTGTCTATGTAACGAGGAAAATAAGAAGAAAAAGTAAATCCATGGTAAGTGATGATATATTATTTCTTCTTGTTGATTAAGCTAATACAAATAATGGTAGCTAAAATAGTTCAAATTAATATGATTTTATAACTAATGACATTTTCTGGATTGACAACTATACTTTTGCCTACAATTTATCTATTATTGGTTCAAAGTTGGATGACAAAGTGGCGGTGGAAGTGAAAAGATATCACAGGGAAAATTAAGGTTTTATTCAAATATTTTCATATCTGATGACAATAATTGAATAATATAATGCTATATTTTTTCCTTGTGCAGAATGACAAATTAGAGCTTTTGAAGACAGGATCTCTTCAACATCTGGGCGAAAATATGCTTGCTTTCTTGCTTCATGTCGGTGCATCATCTCATTTTCCCGGAGGGAATTCAACAGAAGCTGAGGAAGATACAAGCAACAATAATGCCATATATTTTGACATTTTGGTAATTTTAGCTAAAAAACTTTTTTGTTCTTGGTTATGCAAATCATATTCCCATTCTATGCTTTATTGTGTGCTCCATGTGTTATTTTTTTCATATGAGAGGGTGGTTGTAGCTTGCTATGCTACCATCATATCGTTAGGCTCTAATATATGGTACTTATCTGACCTTTTCAGGGAACATATATGGTTGTATATCGTCAAAAGTTTGCTAATATACTCCACAATTCAGTGATAATGCAGTCATTTCTAATATGGATTACATCATTGGTTATGGGTGGTATACCAGCTGCAGCTTCATTGGCCTTGTCATGTTTGAGTGTTCTCCTCTTGTGGATCTTCGCACTTTCTTTCTCCTTTCTTGTTGCGTACCTCCTTCCTTTGATATCTTCATCACCAGTGCCATATGTCTCAAGTCCTTGGTTGGCAATTGGATTATTTGGTGCACCTGCTTTTCTTGGAGCATTGACTGGTCAACATTTTGGTTATCTTCTACTTCAAAAATATCTTTTGAATTCACATTCAAAGAGAAGGCAATTGCCCCCTATTATTCAAGCTGCTGTTGTCAAGCTGGAGGCAGAAAGATGGCTTTATAAAGCTGGATCATTTCAATGGCTTATACTTCTCACTTTGGGAAACTATTTTAAAATTGGTTCTTCTTACTTGGCTCTTGTGTGGTTAGTTTCTCCGACATTTGCATGTAATGATCACTACCCTCATCTTTGTCCCTTGTAGAACAACTTTTGTTGCCTATTTCTAAATCTTGGTTGAAATATACAGATGGATTTTTTGAAGCAACGCTAACTCCAGCCAGGTTACCAAAGCCACTCAAACTGGCAACCCTACTTCTAGGGTTAGCCAGTCCAATTTTAATTTCTGCTGGCACATTCATTCGGTTGGCTGCTACAGTCATAGGGGGTATGGTTCGACTTGATAGGTAAATCATTTTTTCCCTAATCAGTATTCATGGACTAGCATGTTAATGAGCCATGTCTATTGCTTAGAACTTTGCTGATGGTGCTTATTTTCTTTTTAGGTTTGGTGTGGGTTTAGTGCCTATTTTAATTTTACATATTTGTATTCTTCACAATAGTCTGCCTGCTGCCAATAGCAGGTTAAGACTTGACACATCAAAAGCAAATTATGGAAATAGATAAAAAGAAGATCCTGTAGGATCTCACAATGTTTTACTTTTAATGTGCTATATGAATACCTATTGAAGCCAAAATTTAGAATGGGATTTTGGTATTCAGTTCTTATTTAGTCATGTGTTAATTATGCAAGAGGCCATTCTTATGTAAAATTCATAGCATTTATTGTTATTAAATAAAATTTCATGATAGTTTCCCCTCATTTCCACTCCCAGCAAAAAATAAAAATAAAATTGTACTAATAAAAAAAGTAAATTGATTAATCTTCCACAAATGCTAAAATGAAGTCCAAAACAGCTGTTAGATTATTGCTATTATTATTGTGTTAGGAGTTATATTAGGTAATTATTAGTATAAATAGGGATATAAGGCCAATGTTATGTTTTACATCACATATAACAACTAGTTCTGCTTTCTGGTGGGTGGTGGCTATGTTCATTGTTCCAGACATCATTCATCATCGTATTCATCCCTTTGTTTTAGTGTGTCCTCTATTCTCTTACCATTGTTTCCCTGAAGTTATCCTGCAGCCCTCTTTTCTACACTTGCTTCCATGATTGGGAACTTGCCTTCTATTTCATGCCTAAAACATGAGGAATAAGTAGAGAAATCTTTGCCATCCAATCTTGATTCTTGCTGCATGACTTGGTTGCATTTACCACCACTTCACTATTGTTGCCATTAGATTCACTACCATTACTTTCACCATCTATTTTGTCAAATGTCAATTTTCACTTTAAGTAGTTAGCATCTAATTTATTTTTCTTTACTGTGCAGGAATCCTGGTAGTACTCCTGAATGGCTGGGAAATTTTATGATTGCTGCTTTTATTGCTGTTGTCTTGTCTTTGACCTTGGTGTACCTTCTTTCATATGTCCATCTCTCAGGTTTGTTTACTGTATCTCGATCTTTTGCTAGCAACTTTGAAATCTTATAATTTATGATAATAGAATGCTAATTGATTGATTTTTTGTGGATGCCAATTTTAAAAGAAATTCTCCTGTCACACAATATGGTGTTTCAACTTCATAAAATTTTGATGACCTGGGGCATGACTGATCTTTTCCTGTGGTCTATTTCTTTTTGGTTGGGTGGGAGGTATATGAAATGCAAGTTTAGTAAGAAGTGCAATAACTTTATCTTAGAAGTAAAACTTGGAGAGCATATTTTAAGTTCCATGAGTTAAGTATCAAGGGTCCATTTTACAGAATGACAGTGGAATAGGATTCAAGTGGGTGGATGAAATGAAGGAGCATTTTGAGTGCAATTTGTGACAAAAGGGTAACTTAGTTGCCAGGGCAATGAAACATAATTTCTTGGTTTACCCAAGGAATCGTGAATTGCTTCATGGGTGCCATTCATTTACAAATTGGTTCACTCCCATTCTAATTCTGGTTTGTGAAAAAGACAAACCAAGTATAGAGGCATTGAGGTACATGAGGTAAGGCAGTGAAGTTAGCAATAACAGGGATTTGATGAAGACGGAATAAGAAATGGAGATGGAGCAGTAGAAATGTAGAATGTGAGAATGATGATGATGATTGTGAATGGTGAGGATGTCTTGGGTGCATCTAATAAATCTTTAATTTCTTCTTCATAAAACTGTTATATATGGTGGGTGTGTGAATAGGCAAAGTATAAAAATGTGTCACAAACCCATAGCATACCAACTAAGTATATCCCTTACCTACCGCATACTTGGCTAAGTACTGTATTGCATACTGGAGAGTATTGAGAACCTGGTCCTCCATTTATACATTAAATTTGTCCTTCAAAATGCCCTGAAAGTGAAGTTAAATTGGTTACTAAAAAGACAAAATTGATGTTTCCAAATCCAGTAAGTGAAAAGGTCAATGTGACGTCATACATATCTTTGGAGGATCATAATTGACACACAAATTTTGATTAGAAGGCCCTGAAACATTACTTTGCTCATGGAATTTTCATTTGTTTATAAAATTTAACTGTAAAGTTTCCTTATATTTTGTCATTAAAATTTTTATCTAATTTCAGTTTTGTGACATTTGGGAGTTAGTGGATCTGTGTATTGAGTTTGTCTTGCTTGTCTCTGGCCATTTTGCATAACCTGTTAATCCCTTCGTGCTCCTTGTTGATACATAGCACTACCACTCTTCTGCCTCGCTGGTTGACCAATGGAAAGGAAATGTTCAGACTTATGAATTCCTCTCGATTTTGACTCTGCAGATGAATGAATGCCTTGATTGAGATTGGCTTAAGTGTCTTACTTATTTCTAAATCAATTGTATACTTTATTGACTCTAATTCAAGGGTGGTTCTTGGACATTATTTTTTGGTATCAAGGGATTATCAACTTTGTAAATTTGAAGTATAATTTACTGATACATCTTGTAAAACACAAAGCAATATACTTTTAAAACATGTTATTTTAATATTCCATGTTGTTTTTCATTCAATTGGTAATTGTGTCCAGATGCAAAAAGGGCAATCATCCTAGCTACTTTGGTGCTGTTTAGTATATCACTTGCAATTGTATTATCAGGTGTTGTTCCACCATTTTCTGAAGACACTGCTAGAGCTGTGAATGTAAGTTTTCCATTTGCACTTATATTTTACTGTCTTTTTGCCACTTAACAGACAATCACTTGCCCCTGGTTCGTATCATTTATGATATGTCCATCTACTATCGGTAGTTTTAAGTGATGTATCCAATACAGATGTTGGAAGTGATTCGTGATCTGTTTATGAATAGTTTATTATTGTTGTTAACTTGCTTTCTCTTATTGTCATGTACTTTTCATGAAAGAGATTTTCATGTAAAATAAGGCAACATAGCTTTTATATCGGACAGATTTTGTTAAATTAAACATATCATTTGCATGTAAAATTCATAGTTTCTTGAAATAGTTGCCGTTAAATTGTCATTTCATGGTCATCTATTCTCGTGCACATTTACCAAACCCCCACCCACCCTATTGTAGTATTTATGCCACTCTACTTCCTCTTCATCTTTAGCAGTGTTTATTACAATCTTAGGTCATCGAAAACCTTACTTGATGCATGTGTCATTATTTCTACTGCCCTTGGAGCAACTACATGTGGCACTTCATTAGAACTTGAATGTCATATGCTTATCTGAAAATTTTATCACTAATTTCTGTTTTCTCTTCATAATGTTTCTTGATTTATTTGGGTCTGGATTTGTTACTTAACTGAAGTGACGTGTCTTATTATCACTAGTATTTGATCTAATTTTAGTATTAGTACCATGTATATTATAACACATTTTTACACATCATATCAACATAATCTCATTATTCTCAGTAGTTTTTTTTTCTCTGTCCTCTTCTCTTTCCCTACCATAACCATATAATTTCTACAATTAACAAAAAGAAGCAAGTATAATAAATCAAAAAAATCTCCCTGTACTTTCAGGTTGTGCATGTTGTGGATGCAACTGGAAGACTTAATGAAGTGCAGAATCCTGTATCCTATGTATCTTTATTTTCTACTACTCCAGGAAATTTGAACAAGGAGGTAGAACAGATTAATGAAGGTTTGGTATGTAGTAAAGATAAAACAATTGATTTTGTGACTTTCTCAGTCAAATATGGTTGTTGGACCAATAACGACACCATGAGTGGCTGGACTGAGACAGATATTCCATCAATGCACGTAAATAGTGATGCTAAAGGAAATGGAAGAATTACAAAAGTTTCAATAGATACAAAGGGTTCTGTCCGTTGGGTTCTTGCAATCAATACAGAAGAAATAGAAGATTTCAAGTTTAAAGGTATTGAATTTTTTGTTAGCTAGCATATTTGTAGTTTTTCTATATGTATACCAATTCATTCATAAAATGTGATTTTTCCCTTTTTTTTTTTTTTGTTTTTCTAAACAATACTACTATGACCAACAGTCAAAAAATAGGATGACCAACATCTTAGATTAAAATGAGATCAGTTCTCATTTGGTATGCTGCCTATATATATAAAAACACTGTCATGAGTCAATTATCCTAAATTGGGTAAATGATTATTTATATTAACAACTTTAATAAACATCATCATCATCATTAGGAATCTTGCTTTTGGTGAATGCTCTGTTGATGGATTATGTTTAGTCTTTAAAGATTCACTAGAAGAATGAACACAAGCAGGCTGAAGTACTAAAAATTCTTTAGAATTCTCTGACTTGTAATGCAGAAATGTGTCAACAAACTGCAACAGTACTTTGGTATCATGTTGCTCTAGGCCAATGCCATCCCATCAAATAGAAAATACTCTTCTTTTCCTTTTAAATCTTTTACATGAAGTAAATGTAAATTTGCAGCATAATCCCTCCTGGCATGTTTCTCACACCGAGTTGCCAGTTCAGGAGCTTTGAATAGTCTGTCTTATAACCTACTTAAAATCTTAATCTTTTATGAAGAAACCTACTCAGTAAAAGGGTAACTTCAGTATAAAAGTTTAGCTTGTTGATGTATGCATCGAATAAAATGATCGTTATTGGTACTTCATTGCTAGTGTTGTTGCTATTTATTATTATATTTTATGGTCTGAAGTAGTCTTTGTTCTTCTCACCCAACCTCAGATGCAGTGGACTCTGAAGAATTGATTTCAGTTGATAAAAAGAGTAGTGTGGATGGTTGGCACATAATTCAATTTTCTGGAGGAAAGAATGCACCAACATTGTTTGATCTGACTCTTTATTGGAGGTCAGGTTCAACTCATAACACTGATGTTCCTCTTCTGAAACTTAGGACTGATGTGAACAAATTAACGCCTATAACCGAACGAGTTCTTAAGAAGCTTCCTCGTTGGTGTTCATTGTTTGGAAAGTCTACATCTCCTCATACCTTAGCTTTCTTGAAAAATCTTCCTGTTAATTTTTAGGTACCAGAAGTTTATCCTTGATTTACTAGTGTTAAAATCTTAATATTTGCAGTCATAGGAGTTCTAATTCACTATACCATTTTTGTTCTGGTTGTAGAAAATAATTATATTTAATTTTCGCTGATGTGTTTAATGACTTTAATTATGGGATAAAATGGAATAAGGAGTGGCAATAATTAGATTTTATTGCTCTTTGGCCTGCTCTACTTTCACCTATTTCTTTTGCGATAAAGGGTAACAACACACAGGTACTCTCTGTTATTGAAATGAAATTCATGTTGAATCTATTAAAAATGTGTCTCACTGGATATCCTTCCTCATTTATCAGTCACGTGAATTTCGCTCAATAGCAAATATGTCAAGTGTTTTAGCATTTTTTTTTATTGCCCAGGAATTTATTGAGGTAGGAACCAGTAAAAGAAAATTTTATTTTCATTGTGTTTGAGCTGATTACCTTTTTGTCCCATGTATAAAATACTTGGGTGTGACTTAGATGGACTTGGTCCAAAAATGTGTTTGAAAGCTTGAAATTGAGTAAAGTGATGAAATGCTGAATATAGAGAGGTGTCACCTAACCCTGGTAGTATCGTGGTAGGTTTATCTCTCTTCAATAGGATGGTCTCGTAATAAGAGGAAATTCGAATAAAAGGAATAAGGTAAAAGAATTAATTTTAAAATTGAGTTTATTCCAGTATATATTTACTTTTGAAATATTTATTGTAGGGATGTTTTGAAAAAAATAATCTCCCTTCTTAAAATAAATTTCTTTAGGGATTTTTTTAATCACCAGATCTTACCCTATTTTATTTCTTCGGTATGAATTAATTTTGAAAATACTAACTAAAGAATTGTCATCATTATAAAACTTAACTTAATTTGGAAATCTTGTCATGAACCATTGTTAATTATATTGATGATAACTACCAGGCACCAAGACTTACGAAGTAGTTTAAACCAAAATTAGTGGCAAATTACAACTGGGTTTCCCTGAATTGTTCTAGGGATTCATAAATTGATGGGAAAAACGTCTTTGGATTTAAAAGATCTTATTTACCCAGAAATGACTCTCACTAAAAAAGTATTTTGGGTTAAGTCCAATATGAAACACTTTATTTTAAGTCGATTATTTATTTGTATTACTCGTTGCTAGTACCATTTTTTTCATAATTTAATTTTAAATTTTTCTTTAATAGTTTCCAAAAATTAAATTTTAGAAATCATTTATAAATTACTTTAAAAATTTACTTTTTAGAAGATATAAAATTATTTTAAAATTTAAATTTCAAAAGTGATTTGCAAATTATTTATAAAATATATTCTTTAGAATATACCAAAGAATTTTAAAATTAAATTATAAAATAAAAAGAGTTATAGAAATAGTAAAAGAAGGAAATAGCGATTCCCAGAATTTAAAAGCATTTTAGCAAGGAAATGTACACTTACACTACATGTTCACTTATATTTACTACATTTGCTCTTAAACAATCTAAATGACAAAATTTCAGTTAAAGAATGTATGCACACTTCCTTCTTAAAATTTATTGTACTAAAATTTTCATTCACTTGAATATCATAATGTCATTATGTAGGTGATTATCTTATTTTTAACTTTACATCCTTCCTAGTTTCTGAATAAAGAAATATTTAAATTTTCATGAATTTCATGTTATCTATAAAAATTATAAAATATATGTTTTTTCTGCTCACATAAGTGGATAAAAACAATGAAGACAAAAGAAAAAGTGGAAAAGAACAATATGATTGTAATTGAACCTTGAATTGAATGCTGTGTGTAATTGTTGCACTCCACCACCGTTCAGTGCAGGTAAGAAATGCAAGGTGTTTCTACTTCCACGCAACGTGCGTTGCTTTAAACAACCTTTATCAAAATCAAGGAAATAAATAAACTGAGAAGCACATGATTGCTATGAAACTAATCCCACAATAACTCTCTCTTTTATTTAATCCAAAGTCAATTAGGGATAGGTTAATTAATTTTTTATGAAAAATTAAAAATCTAACAGTTTTAGAATAGATATTATTTCATAGAGACTTTTTTTTTGTTTTTATCAATAATCACTTAAATAAAAAAAATTAACTTTATCTAATCCTAAATATTAGTGTTAGGAATAAGAAAAAAATGTTTATTTAATTTAGGGCTACTCATAGCTGAGTTTAAATTGATTTTTCGATAAAAATTCTTTAATTTATCATAAAGTTATATTGAATTTAATTTAGATAAATTTTAATAAAATGTTCAATTCAATTCAATTTGATACGTTCAGAGAGAATTGGATTGGGTTTGATAGTTTAATTTTTATAATTTTTTAATTTAATTTAAAAATAATAGATAAATCTTATTTATTATATTTTATAATATTTTAATTAAATATTTTATATAAATATTAAAATTTATACAATAACAAAATATGACACATTAACAATTTTAAATCAACTTAAAAGTAATAAAATTTAAAAAACTAAAATCACAAAATATAACTTTAAAATAAAATTATATATTATATTTATAAATAAAATTAAATATACAAAATTTGGATTTAAATTAGATTAGATCGAATTTTAAGTTTTTAGATTAATTATTACATTTAAATTAAAATCTATCGATTCATGATTACAACTAATCTAATCACAACTCCAAATTTTAGTGTTCGGAATCGGAAAAAAAATCTGAAGACGTGGATGGGAATTGAAGAGAAATATTAAACTGTAGTCGATGATGGTGTCAATGTGAGGTGACCCCACAAGTGTGGAAAGGATTGTTAAGTTAACCAAACTTAGCACTCTAAATTGTGTACTGAACTTGGCTAACTCAACTTCACCCTTCTCATCATGTTCATGTTCATGTTCATGTTTTGACTCAATCTCAGTGTTGCAATTGCAATTTGAAAAAGAGAATCTTAGGATTCTTTGAGTGATCAGAAAGAGCAAGACACGAAATGCGGTCTATTCCTTTGGGAACCTCTGTATCTCCAACTCCTATAAACACTTCAAAGATATCATCTTTTAATATTAATTTTAGGAAACCAAGCACTTTCCCATATTGGCCTTCACCTCCTTCTCACCAATTCTCTCTCTTTTCTCTCTTTCAATCAGGTACCTTTCTTTTTCTTCATTTTTTGCATAGTTTGGTTGTTTCGAAACTTAGTTAGATGGCTGGAGTAGTTGAATTTGCTGTATTAGCACATCTGTGCCAAACAATGGGTTTGTTATTGGATGAAATTCGAATTTTGTGGAAGCCGATGATGTCTGAGAATTTTTAAAACGTGCTCAACTAAGACAAAAATATGGGGAAAATGAAGGATAGATTATTGGTGGAGAATTAAACTAGACGGTTTTCAATGAGTGTTGGGGGAGGCATAAATTTGTATAGATGAAATTTTTAAATAATGTGTAATGCCATTAAAGCCATTTTCCACATCAGAAAATGGTAATGCCACTCCCCAAAATTATTTGGAATCACACATAGTTCTATTTCCTTCAATTATATTCAGACATCAATGAGGAGCATCATATATAAGCATGGTTAAACTCACTATCCAAGTTTCCATTTTCAGTACTAAGGATTTTGACTTCATCCAATGCAAAAGCATAGTCTTTTGGCCTGGTTTTATTCATGGAAACCAACAAGTCAATTGGTGGTTTGGTTATATGGGATGGTAGAATATTTCCTACTTATTGTTGTGTATTTGTGAGATGTTAACTTTGCTAGGAACTAAGGTATGGTGTTTGGATATAGGATTATGCAGAGCCAGCCAAGTTGTTGATTTGTTCCCAACCGTGTCTCCTGAAATAATTGTTCGGGAGGCGAGGTTAGAGGATTGTTGGGAAGTGGCAGAGACTCATTGCAGTTCCTTCTTCCCTGAATATTCCTTTCCACTAGATTTTGTGCTGAGGATGGACAGATTGGTGGGCATGTTAGCAGGATTCTCTCTACCAAATGGTTGCAATAGAATCTGTTTGGTTGCTGTTGTTGGCAGCTCACTTGGTGAAACTCTCTTACTTGGAAGTGAAGATTTCAAGATTGGTGGTTTTGATGGGAAATTCAACCTCAACAAGGGATATGTGGCTGGTATATTAACAGTAGATACCGTTGCAGATTTTCTACCTAGGAAGGGGCCATTGCGACAGAGAAGGTGAGTTGAAGCTTGTTTCTGGACCTTGGGAATTATTGAGGATTTATGTCTTTATGACATAAATCTGACACAAACCTTTTGATTATTCAGATTTTTGAAATTTTGGTTTTTAACCGAGTTTAATGATATCATGTAATTCATATAGCTGACCTAACCTAATAGGATAAGGCTTGATTGTTGTTATTGTTGTTGTATGTCTTCATGCTTCATCATTTTCCTCAGGACTGTGGCTTCTAAATGATATTCTTCTTATTTTTCACTTTTGCAACTATCCTCCTCTTTTGTCAAACTTTATATAGCTAGTCCCTGGATAAAAAAGGAGGAGGATTGTATGAGAAAATATATGTGCCAATATGTCTATATTGATTGTTATACCAGACATAAGAACTGATATATAGAAGATGTCCTGCACCAACTAAATGATAACGTTTTCTGAGATTATGTTCTGTTAAATCATACAGACCCTTAATACATCCAGCTTACCCTGTTTTAAGTTTCAAAACTACTAATAAATAGCCATGATATATATGCCCGCACAGTATAAAACTTGTCTGTCATTTGTATTGTTTGTTAAAATAACTGGTTACACGTTCTTTCATATCGCACTGACAGTTTCTTATTGGTAATTGTAACCTTTCGCTTGTTTAAAATTGAAGTTTAGATCTCTCGAGATTGATCACTATGTTAAGAGTGGACTTGCCTTTAAAGTTTAAACTGAATGTGCCAAAAATCTTTTGTGCTTTATTAGAATCTTATATGAAAACTTTTGAAGCTTTCATTACCCTTCAAACGGTTAGTTTATAATGTTTCTAATTCTGTACATGGCCATGTTGGATTATGATATTCTTAGTTTACATTTCACTTTAATGGTGAATTCTTGCTGATGGCCGTTAATTTTTTAATAAATACTGTAGGACCGGCATTGCATACATATCAAATGTGGCCGTTAGGGAAAAGTTTAGACGGAAGGGAATAGCAAAACAATTGGTAGCAAAGGCAGAATCACAGGCCAGAAGTTGGGGCTGTCGTGCTATTGCATTACACTGTGATTTGAAAAACCCTGTGGCCACAAAGTTATACCAAGGTCGAGGTTTCAAATGTATCAAGGTTCCAGAAGGAGCCAACTGGCCTCAACCAAAGACTTCATCGGACGTAGAGTTCAACTTCATGATGAAGCTTCTCAACTCAGCGGCTTCAAAATCTAATTAGATAATTTAGAGTAGGGATATTTATGTTCTGAAACATAATATATTTAAGAAAACATGCACGAGGAGGTAGGAGAGGACCGTCCATTATTGAATTGTGCACATGAAAAAAAATCAATGATTTAGAGGAAAAATCAGAACATTTTGGATTGCTCCTGTAGCAAACATTTGTAAATTGGCATTCTTTTGCATCTGAGTGCATCTAGACAAAATAGCTACGTTGGAGTTAGAATTTCCGGACCCCACTAAAAAGAAAGAAATAAAAGAAAACACCCCGTCAAGGTGGAGATTTTTTTTTCTGCTGTTTACGCATTGAAATTTAATAGCGGAAGGCTTGTTAAGATAGGAAATCAAGAGATGATTGATTCTTTCCCCAAATGGGAAAGACCACATCCTGTTAGTGAGACTATTGAGCCAAAACGCATATCAGAAAAAAGTCTAATATTCAATGCAAAGCACAACAAAATAACACCATATATACTGTTCTCAAAATGAAATAACATTGCAATTCTACCCTAAAATCATATTTATAATCAACAACGGACCAGACTCCTGACACCCATATAAGGGGTTATTCAGGTTCCCTAAACCTTCAATTCACCCTCTTTTGCTGCTGATGCGCGTGTAGAGAATCTTTGTATGACAAAGACAACCAAACTTTATCTCATAAGGTCGGTTACATAGATTTCAAAAACTAAATTTTCAAAAATATAGTTATGAAAAAAAAAGAGAGGAGAAAGCATTTCCAGGACCCAACTCAATTTTCGTATGAAGCAACAACTCATGATGCTCCTACAAATTTTTTCAAGGCTGATGTATCTAAACTTGAAAACTCCTTCAAAGCTGCAAGCACAGCAATTCCAAGCTTCACAGCATCATCATTACTAGGTGCCTGCAGTAACAATTATATGTTCATTCTGAAATAGTTGAATTGTTCTAATGTTGCAAACAAACACCCAAATCTGTGAGGACCTTTACCTCAATGTTAAGGGGAAGTACAGGATCATGGAGGGATAATCTAAGAAGGAACCATCCACCATAGCCAGAAACTCGGACCTGGTTGAAGATTAGATCAGACAAGCAATAATTATATTAGAAATATAAACTCAGTAAACCAATCATTGCAGGGCAGAAATTTGCACAATGATCTCGAATTGTAGGCTATTGCGAATTTTAAATTACATTAATCATAACTTTATAATTTATCACTGAAAAATTTATGGTTTATGGTAATTAAGCAGGTTTACAATTTAGCAATAAGCAGGGAGAAACATACCCCTTCATAGTTCACAGGAGCCTTGTGCAGACTTGGTTCAGAAGCAATTGAGTTCTCCAATTGTTTCAGCACAGTTTCTCCATATTCCCGAAAAGATTTGAAAGATCTGTGATATGTCGTGAATTCATAACATTAATATGGATGCATGCAAACAGAGAACCTTTATACACTAACTTACCCTCTCTTAAGATCTGGATGGTTTTGGTCTATCTTTAATCTCAGCTCTACAGCAAAAGCTGGTTCCTGAAGTCCTTCTATTAGATCAGTCAAAACCTTGCTTCCACCACCCTTTCCAGAAGCTCTTGCAGAAGCAAGTTTATTTAAGATCTTGACCTGCACAATGAACAGCACATGTAGACCTGGGTAGTGGTTCTGATTATTAAAATTAATCTTGGGCCCCCACTAAGTTTATGCTTGTAGTTAGAGCAGTTTTTGAACCTAATATCAGAACCTCTTTGATCCAATATGATATATTCCCTCATTCTACAGCACAGTGCTATAGTCACATTCTAATACAGGGTAGTGTCAAGTAAAGGGCCATTTGGTGCAATATAGAGGTTGTCCATTTGAACTTTTAGTTTAACAGTTCTTTAACCCGTGAATTAATATACTAATGTCATGTGAATTGATTACTGGAGAACAAATAATTTGGTCATTATTTGCTTTACCCAATTTGATACAATGAAAAGCCTACCATTAGGTATGCACCATCATCAAGCCAATGATTCTCCTTGAGAGCTCCATGTCCACTGGTTTCAATTGCCAAATGTGACTCCTCGCCAATAGAATTCTGTCAGCAATATTGCTTCCATAAGTCAAATATTTAACTTATATTGGGAAAATATGAAAGTAAGAAAAAATATATCAAAAGAAAATACATGACGGACGCTAGGTATCTTATTGCACATAATTTCTTTTAGACTGCTGCCGTTTAGCAATTTAGCCAGGTACTACTACTAGGACCCATTCGGAATAAATTTAGCCAACATGTACATGGTTCAAATTTGAAATAATGGAACGATCAAGCATTCAGATGAAAGATATTTCTCAGTAACTAAACTGATGTATAATATACTGAATTATAGGCGAGCACTCATCATACCAAACGGATAGCTTCATCAATCACATTTTTGTAGCCTCTTCGGAACCGATGGTGTCTGCCACCTGAGAAAAATAACAGTAACAAGTTATTAACACTATTTCTGATTTCAAGTAATTTGAAATTCAAATTCAATAAAAGAAATTCTGATTTATGATGAACAGGAAGGTGGGACTAAATAACATGTCAGTTTAGATTCCTCCATACCAAGTTTCTTCTCAATAAATGTGGTAAGGCCATCAGAAGTCACACTGTCTGTGACAATCGTTGTTCCAGGATGCTAGGGAAAATGATAGAAGGAAAAGAATTAAGAGGAAGTATACATAGAAGTGTAAGGTTAAAAACAAGGCCTGAGACATAAAAAAATAAGAGCCTCACTTCCTCAAGAACAATAGCTGCCATCAAGGCAATCAAACGATTCCGGTTGAATTCACGGCCAGTGAAATCCACAGCAGCAGATCTATATAGAAGTGATTCATGCTCTAAAAATTTTAAGAACAGTATACACATCAGTGAAACCAAATAGTAAGAATATCCTTACCTGTCCACATCAGTATCAAAAATAATTCCAAGATCAGCTTTGTTATCAAGGACTGCTTGGGTTATAGCTTTCATTGCTGTCTTGTCCTCAGGATTTGGGATATGGTTTGGAAACAAACCTAACAAATAAACCATTGTTATGTCACTCAAAGTCCAAGTACCATACCCAGCTGAAGAAATCATTCCTCCAAGTAAGAGTTATTACCATCAGGCTCCAAAAATTGACTGCCAGTAGTTTTTGCACCCAGAGGCTCCAGAACCTTCGCCTGTTATTTACCAAAAAGCAATATCAAATATCAAGCTTGATGCAAGAGCAAAAAACCTTAACCAGATAAAATATTCTAGACTTCTGTATGATTTCAAATTTCATACAAAAATCTAAATACTTGACTGAAGGATAAGTGATGCAGCAGGGGTAATGAACCGGATAGCAGTTTTAAATGAATCAAAGTTAATATTCTTAAGTGTTAGTACCTTATGAAACTTCAATATGACAACAAAGTCAAGAGGTCAATAACTTCTAAATTCAATTCATTATTTTATGAATTATTAGTCTTTCCCAGTCTACACAGACGAGAAGTTTTACAAAAGTTCCTAAAGCACTATTATTAAAACTATTCAGAAAGTTTATTATTGTAATGCATAATATGAAAAAGTCACCATCAATAACTTGTTTAGCTTGTTTCATTTTTAAGATCCCTTACCAAAAACATGTACCTTAGATCCAGATCTAAATAGTAGAAAATATCATAAACCATTCCCAATAAATATATTTCATCTATAGGTTATCCATTCAAGATCAGTTTCACAGAGTGTTCACATGCTTGTCACTTTTGTTTTACAGAAAGTTCAAACACATTCGTGATAACTAAAATTTTCTTGTCTTATGGTAGGCAACAAAATTCAACTCTAAGCACAGATTTCTTTTTCCAAGATTTCTTGCGGAAAAAATAATTTGTAAGATTTCACATGAGATGATTCAGAAACCAAAATAAAACCAAATTATACTTATCATCATATATATCTGCCCATCTGTAGCTATTTAAGATAAAAAAATATATATCCAAAAGTCAGCTTTTACAGAAGAATTCTCATTAAGACAAATGATTACGAGTAATTATAAACGTAGAACAAAAGTTTCTTGCAATTAGATTTGTCATTTAAAAAAAAAATCAAGATTTTGCTCCTCTACTCGCTAGTATATTGATATAAAATCTTGGATTTGACTCCTCTAAAGTGAAGGGTGCACTTTGGAGGGTAAAGTGGATATTTATAACCACTGATTGGAAAATCAATGGAGTAGTACTAATAACTTCATAGTTGTTATACTTATGAGGGTATCTTATCATCATTCTAACTGTTGATTTTTCAATCAGCAGTTATACACTTTGCACTTTATCCTCAGTGCACTTTTCACTTTAGAAGAGTCAAATCCACAATCATTTCCTGCATACAGATGTTTTAATTTAAAAACCGTTGTACTAAAAGCTTTTAGAAAACAGTAAAAGTTGAAGAGATTAAAGGCAACTTACTGCAAAAAAACCTCCTGCTCCATTGCCTGCATCAACAACTATATGGAAACCCTCCAATGGCCTCTCTGTGAGTAAATAATACAATAAAAGTTAGCAAACAAGATTAAAACATTCAGGAATGATAAAAGGAAGAACTATAAATTCTTCAATAAAAAATAAATCATAAGAACATAACGTCTCTTAATCATAGTTGGATTATTCCTCCACTTCATTTAAAGAACTACCCATTAATTACGTTTCCAAACATATTGAGTATATATAAATACTTTGGCAAAGTTGTACCTATGTTTCCAGCTGCTTTGCGAACTGCTTTTACTAGATCAGATGTATACACAACCAAGTAATCAACTTTCTTAATAGATAATGCAGCTTTTCTCTCTGAATTTGTCAAACTTTCCGCTGTAAATTGATTGTATATGTCTGCAGCTCGCTCTAAGATATCTTTGATGTCAGCCTTCCCAAGCCCACCAGCATTTGTGAAAAATTTGAATCCATTCCTGTTGAAAGGCAGATGACTTGCTGTTCACATATGGGACATTTAATAATTAGTAGACAAATTAATACTCAAATTCATTTATCTCTGAAAACAATTTTATGAATTATAAAATCAAATTGAAACATACATAAATTGGGACGTTAACAAACAAGAAATAATACATGAATAACATACAATATAAAATGGCAAGAGAAAACCACTCAACCTAACAACTTAAGCTTTTTGGTAGAAATAGTTCCCTGACATTGTTCATGTAAGTGATTTTGTGTTTGATCTGCGCTGGCCACTTTCTACGTGATTCATTAAATTTTCAGCAAATAGGAGGTTGTGCTATCCACGATCTCCACAGATCAATCAAAAAGGGCTTTTGCATAAAAAGGAATGCAAAGAGACAAAAGCCAAAGTTTATGTATGCCTTATATGATGAAATTAAGAAAATATTTCCAACAACTATGATATTTTAAAAGTTAGAACAATGCCATTTAGCTAGAACTTTATAATGTACCTGTTATCATAATAGAGCCATCAACAGGACACAAAGTTGCATCATTTTTTGTAAGTGTGCTATTGAACATGGCTGGTGTTGATGCTAATCTAGAAACATATCAACAGTATTAATTCATTAGGCCATCAAAACATTTAGGATAATATTATGTATCCATGTTGAAATTTATCAAATGAAGTCATGCTTACTGAAACAGAGAACAAGGAAATAGTAAAATAGTCCCCTGAGCTAATCAAATGGCTATGCATAAAAGATCCAACCACAAGACAGAAACTTTGGCATCATCAATAATCCTATGATATGAAAATTACAGTGACCACTTAATAGTTACAGCTTAAAAACTAAAGCTGGTTTCCATTTCGAGGTGATTAGACAACGAAATAACCAATTAGTTGGGTAAAAACCAAGTTCAACAACAATCTAAAAGTACATTCAAAATAACCCAATATATTTGTACAATCACCCTGAATGTTTGCATAAACTTGCAATCAAGCATCATACTAATGGCAAGATTCTTACCAAATAAATCAACCAATAATTTTTGAAAGATCCAGGCTACTTTGTCAGAAAAATAATCAATCAAATCAATTTGATGTCAAGGGCAATAAGATTTACATATATACATACATATAACACACACACACACACACACATATATATATATGTGATACCTTATAAATCTAACTTCAAGAATAGAATCCCAAACCCAAACTAATGCAAATTTTCTTTTTCAATTTAGTTTTCCAGTTTCCCACTTCTCCCATATTTATAGACCATTTCCAGTTTTTTTTTTTTTTTTTTACTGTAGACTCATCTTTGTCCCCCAACCCCAACAACCAAGATAAAAAATTTCCAAGAGAAAAATAACAACTCATTTAACTTCCAAAAATAATAAACTGTGTTAGAGACTTAAAACCAATGTCTTTAAAAACACACCGGTCATGGAGCTGGTGAAGACAAATAATTGATACGAAAGAAACAATATCACCTACCCATACTGGACAACTTCTAGACCAGCACCAGCAAGACCTCGAGAAATTGCATTCTGGAATTTGACAAGTTGAAAACCAAATAGTCAGTTTTAAACAAAGTATGAAATAGAAACCAATTTAAAAGCATGTATGCTCTCATACTAGGAAGGTTTCAAAGAAAGATCTCTTTGCATAATCAAATTAAAAAATATGAAAAGCTTCAGCATTATGCAGAGTCTCCCAAGAAGGAAATTAAAAGTTAAAATTAAGTGTCGCACCTCTATGACTTTAAAAGACTGACAATACTCAACAGCAATATAAAGCAATAGGTTTTCATCTAAGCATTGTTCATTCCAACTTTCAGGCTATCAAAAAATATGCATATAATTGAGAGAATGGACTTCCATTTAGTTTCAAAACCATCATGAAACTTTAAACAATCAACAAACCTTTTATATGTTAAAGGTGGGCAGAAAAAAGCTTAACCAAATGATATAAGGAACAATCTAGACCTGTAATAATTTGGCTGATATTCGAGAATCATGGCCAATAGAAACTCTCAAATGCTGAGAAGCATCTGCTTTCTTTTTCTCCACTAACCATGCAGCAAAAGCAGCTCCTATTGCTTCAGCAACAGGTTCAGTGAGGTTAACTGGCTCTCCCTCAACACCATCCACAGCCACACCGCGTATGTCACTGTTTAAATTCATTTCATTTGTAACTTATACACAAGTCAGCATGCAGAATTATAAGACCTGATAAATGCAAGCCATCTAAATACAGAAGGACGATGGGATTCTGTAGCTGGAAGCTTTACTAAAAATAATCTCCACCAGATACAGTCATTATTAGTTTATTACATTGAAAATAAAAAAGATTATATTTCCATTATCAATGAATTATCTATGACATGGTTAATCTTAGTTTTGTGTTCAGGGGGAAAATTAATTCTTAATTAGATAGAATATGCTAAGTTTTATTTTTTCTTCTCTATAGTCTAAATGCTATCACACAGATTGTGTACAGCGATTAACAAAGTAATGAGAAGGAAAGAAGCAACTAGGAGTCTATTTCACATCCATGTCCACCTTGCTCCCGTTTTCACCTCTTTTTTTTCACTCAATCTGTCTCTTTCTCCACATATAAAACAGTGATGGGAACCAAGGAACAACTAATGGGCCAGAGGAGCACTTGATCCAAGAAGCACAAAGTCAGCCCAAAAAATGGATTGTTTATGTTAGAAAAAAAGAAAGAAAGAAGGAATTAGGAAAAGGAGAGGAATGAGCTGAGGTGGCTGAGATAGTTAGGGAGAGAGAGAGGGGGGGGGAGGGGGTTTAGAAGGCATGATGAGCCTGGGATTGGGGAATATTGTGATTTGGTTAAATTTTGCTGGCATGGAGAAGCTTTTGCTCTCTGTGAAGGAGCCTAGCTCTGGGGCATAAGAGGGTCTGTCCTCTTATTGCATTGTTTTCTGTTTTTATCCTTTAATTCCAAGAAGTTCCCCATTAAATCTTTTCTGGTTGCTGTTTCTTTTCTGTTATTGCATCTGTGTTTGGTTTCTGGTTTGTAACACAGAGACACACCATCCTTTGACCAAAATAAGTTATGGAAAGTCACAAGGCACAAGTAAATTTCTATTGAGATGAAGATTTCCAATCATGGTAAAATAAGACAAACAAAGGGGGAGAGGGGAGAGGGGAGAAATAGTCCACTGAAGAAGTATTTTCTTAGCAATATAAACTTGTCAGCTAGGTCTTGACCTGCCATTTTGAAGCCTTAGAAAATCCATTGTGTCCAGATATGGCACGGCGGTAGCAGATGCAGAGGCTGCAACAAAACAAGTCCAAATGGAAGGTACAAACATCCATTAGAAAATGTAGTAGTTAAAAACTGCCAAAAGGAAAGAATAATACTCAAAAAAAAAATGCATGCCCGTATACAGATACTGATATATTAGTACATAACATACTGTTCATGTATAAAGCTTGAAAAGGAAGTGAACTAGTTTAAAAGTGTTTAAAATGAGTTTTTTCACTTGATATTAACCTGTACAATGAGAGTCTAGAACAGACCATTGCAGTGAAAATATCTCTGGATAACAAAATCATTCTGAGGTTTGAATAAAGTGCGCAATTGCATGGAAGGGGTAGTCCATGACAACTTCCCTAGCGGAGAGCGAAGGAAGTTGCGCAAATAAGGGGCAAAATAGTCCCTTCGACCCTCTCTATTCTGTTGGTAGTAGCAGCGTGACACAAAAACATTTTGGACAATCTTCCCTGATGTTGCTGCATATAAACATTTACACTTTTATCAGATTCATAATTAAAATCCCTTTCTCTCATTTCCTACCGATTCATTTTCCATCAATGCTATCTTTGCGGTCATCACGCGACCGACATTGTTACTCTAGCTCTATCAGTTGAAGCATAGAGCACGGGAATTTCACGAAAGTTGCAGCAACGCAGAGCAGTTTCGATTTCAATTATAACTCAATTTAAATTAATTTAACGGAGTTTTCAAATTCAAGAGCGATTAATTAATGTCTGAAAGTGTTGGTAACAAAACAATGAGAGTATGTAATTGAAGACATGAAAAGAAACGGTGAAAGGAGTGGAATAAGAATTCACCTGCCATGTGATGTATCGCAGAGAGCTTCAATGGCCGCGACGGAGAAATAGAGAGAAGTGTGTGTGCGGAACCTCACTCGTGTGTTTGTCTGTAAGCTTCTACTGTCACACTTTCACCAACCTCAATCTTATAACTACCCTTCCACGTGTCACTCCCACGTCGCTGTTCTACTACATTAATATTCCATGGCTTTTTTCCGTCTGCTTCAAGGTGCCCTACACGATCATAAGATAAATATCATCAAAATTTTAAAATAAAAAAATCGTCCTCCACTTTTATTTTGCATTATAAAATTGTTTTTTTTTTTTTTATTTTACGGGTAAGTGTTTTCTATTTCCTAAACAACCATTCAATAAAAAAAATATTTATTTGTTGTGCATCAATTTTATGAAAGAGTAGGCTTACTTACCTTTTACTTTAAATAATTAATATTTATTTTTTATGACTTATTTTCTATATCACATGTTAAGCTGAAATATCTCTTAATTGATCATTAGTTTGATGGTATTAAATAATATTTTAAAGTATATAATAATATTTTTATTTTTATTTATTTGATAAGTTTTTGTTTTGAGACTTCTATGATGGGTCTGGTCTTCCTTCTATTGCGCTTGATGGGTCTCATTTTCCATTGTGATGGGTCTCATTTATTTATTTAACTTGTTGTGGAACATGGCCCGTTTTTCCTGGCTGCTGCATCGGTGAAGATTATAATTCATTTTTGGGAGGGTCATTGTGAAAATTAGATTTGAAAGTTAGCCAAAAAAAGTTAGCGGGCCTAAACTTGGGCTAGGGGCCTGCTATTGATCTTGTGCCCCTTTGTTTTTGCTTTGTTTTTCAGACTACACGCACTACCTACAAAAAAGCACCCAGTTAAAGGTTTTGGATTAATCATGGATCTTTCTCTCCGGTCAACACAATCATGGATTAAAAAAAAAACAATGGGAAAAAATAGAAACAAAAAAAGAGTTATAACTGTAAGACTGTAGAACTTCAAAGCGAATATTTATCTTTCGTTGTTGCTAATTGTACAATCTTCCCTAAATATAAAGGGCTTAGTCCATGGTATACTTAGCATTAGAGTCATATAATCATATATTTAAGGAAATTTATTTGATTTAGATAGGCATTATGATTTCTTTTATTTTAAAAAATATATCATTTTATTGCAAATAATTTTTGTAAAGTGTGACAATAATTTTATCTGCCCATTATTGATGATGTAATTTTAAACTATGAATTTAAAAAGCATGTATTACTATGAACTTCCCAAGTCTGCGTATAAGTCACTGCATGAAGCCAGTCGGATTAATAGAAGTTCTTCATATGAGTGATGTTCACAGTGCAATCACTGAAGAAATTGCTTAGGGACAGTCAACTCCATAGACAGATGACAACCAAGAGCAAATTAAATCACGATCACATCCATGTTTGAAAATGGTGTTTTTGACTTTTAATTTTGGGGCACCAACTTTGACTCAACCAATGTGAACAACTTGTTCATTTCGACGTTACATGTCTACAGTATGAATTTTTTAAACAGTTGTAAATGTGTATATACATGAAGCAGATACAGAACCAATAGAGGTTGACAATTGACAATTCCCAATCCCCATGTGGGAAATCTGATATCTTTAGTTGACTTATGAAGATGTCCTTGAAACCTCTTGGGATCTGTGATTGATCCTAAAAAATAACATGGCAGGGTTAGCCAACTAATTCCAGACCTTATAATAAACCAGCATTAACATTCACATGCAAACCTTACAATTTCATATTAAAGTATTAAACAAGTGCACATAATCTTTGTCCAACACAAAAACACAGCTTGTGCCGATGTTGGGGGCATGAAATGGTTGAACTTAGCTGTGTTTCTTGACCTTTGTACATCTTTGTTTGCTTAGAGAAAGTTAATTATATTATGTAATAACGCCACACACATACACACGGTTGAGTAAGTCACAATCTGAACTACATCATGTTATTAAAAAAATTATATAATTGAGATCCCAAGAGATCATTTACTCTTTTCCTGTAAGTGCGCCATACTTGGGGATCGAAATGAGGATTACCAAGTTATTTGTTTCCGCCATTTCTTAGGCGGAAGAGTAGCATGTATTTTGTATCATATGTTGTACGCTATTATTTTTTTCTTCGTTTCCATTTATTTATAACAACTCTCTTACAAAAGAATGAAATATAGGCAAGTTTGCAGTGTAATTGGTCAATGCCATGGGTACAAACCAACTGTAACACTCATATTAACAACACACTGAAATATAACTATTTGTTACTGTTACATTTGTCATTTAGTATTATGTTCTATATTTAAAGTGATTTTTCTAATGTTATAGTATAATTAAAGTGAATTAAAACTTTCTTAAATAAAGACAAATTTTGCTACAGTCAAAAGGACGCCAAGATCACCTAAAATCCCCGAAGCCAACTTTAAAATTTGTATAATTGATTTAAACTTTTTTTCCTAAAAAAAAGTAGTCAAGTGATGTCTCGACAAATTTGTATGAACTTTGATTTACTTACCTTCTCAGTCCATTTAAAGAGTAGTTATATGCAAATAATAGACCTAGCAATTTATAACTTGTCATATATAGACAGGTCCTTCGCGTGGAAATTGATGCATTCACAAAATTATATTTCTTATAATCTTATCTCAGTTAACTAGTATCCGTAGAATTCGGTTGCAAATAAAATTTCTAAAACAGGTGATTTATGACATAAGGATGATATAAGCACGTAAGACAATAATGTTATACAAACAGCTGGTAGCTTCTTTATTCTAAAAAATGTACATAAATTATATTTTTTATCAGCTACTAGCTAGACGGGGAAAAAAGTTAGGTCCACTTATATTATTTGGCAGTCAATATAGTATTTAAAAAAAATAAAAAATACATGCACATAAGTCATTTGTAAATACTAAACTTACAATTGATTGGTGGACATTCAATTATAAGGCATGTCTTACCTTTAAAATTAGACAACTTCCCTTCCATCTAAATTTTGATTCTAAAAAAAAGGTCACGTGCATATTTTTCTGCAAATTAATGTCTTTTGTTTGATATTGTACCACACTATACCATTTACCACTTTCTTCTCTGGTAGACTATTTAGGTAAACTATTCAGTTAGATGGATTCTATATATATGGTGGTCCTGCATAAAATATACTTGGTCCTATTGCACAGAACAATTATGAAGCTAACTTGAGTTCACATATGCTGAACAGAATGAGTTTAATTATTAACGAATTTCGCCAATTTCCCTTTCACATTCAACGACCTCAACCTTGTAGCATGTTTTTCCTTGTAGAAATAAAAATTTAATGATTTTTTTGGCATATAATCAAAGGGTGATATTTGCATCACAACCACCATTGTATGAATTATTATGTGATGGAGGTGACATCCATACGTTGAGAAGGGAAAATCCAATAAGAACAGCCATAAATATGCATGGTCACGTACGGCAAGTTAAAGTTGACAATCATGGATGGCAGGAGTTGTGTTGCCAATTTTGGTAATTAAAGTTGCTTTCTTGAAAAGCTTGCATTGGTAGATCTGTGATGATTGTGAATCCCTTGGTCCATTCCAAACAACCTTAGCTAATACCTACCACCAAAGATTGGGAAACTAGATGCAACTTGCATGGTAACAGTAGAATGATTCACTATTGTATCACCGCTAGCTAGGATATTTATGGAAAGAAAATAAAATATATAAATATATTATTGATGGCAATTTTTTGCAATAAGTTTTTTTCACTCTTTGTAAATATAATTTTAATCTTTTAAATTTTTTTATCAGTCTCAAATATGATAAATTTTAAAATATTTCATTTTATCACGTAATAAAAGATACATTTAATTATGTCACATTGAATAATACATGAAGTGATGTAATTAGATTTATATATAATGCCATCATTAATAGATAAAATAAAATTTTAAAAAAAATTTAAATTTGATTGAGTTCAAAATAATTTTGAAAAAATTAAAATGTTAAAATACTTCAAATCATATTCATAATATATTTTATTTGTCGTATTAAAATGGCGACGAGAAGAAAAAAAACACTAGCAGTTTTTGAGCGGAAACTGAAGTGAATATTCATCGTTAACATATACGAAGGCCGTACCAGAGTTGGATATGGAGGAGAAAATCTAAAGAAAAAGTAAAGGAAAATATGATATAATTTTTAAGGAAAAATATACTTAGACGACACGAACTATGAAGACAATAACTGAAAAAAATACAGTAGAACTACGATAAGATTTAAGTTAAAATTCAAATAATACTGTGCTGTAACATTGACTTTTGATTTGTTGAATTAAATTGATTTTATACTGCAAAAGAAGATAATTATAGATTCAAACCCTTTTAACAATGTTATTAAACTTTATACAACAATTTCATAGTAAACATCAAAATTAAACTTTATGTCTTCTCTTATCTATGCATTTAGTAATTTATTATTCTATTTTTTTAACCTTCATTCTTTACCTTGTTTATACCAATTAACTGAATAAATTTCATCAAAAGAGACAACTGTCTCTCTTTTTAATTATACCTAACATGATTGATGTTGGCAATATTTGGCAGTAGTTATAACGTAACATCATAATTCTTTGTTGTTTTTTTGGTACAAAAGGTTAATGGAATCTTGTGGAACTAGATACTCTTCCAACTAAGCCACACGGTTTATTGTCCAATTGTGGGGTAAAATGGAAAGGGGCCAACGGAGTCTACAACAAGTAGTTGTTGCCAACTTCAAATGCTGCTAGTTACTAAGTCCTTAAGAACCAAATTCGCTGATGTTACCAACATTGTGATTATCAATTTTAACTTAATAATTAAATAGCATATATTGTTATTCACCCAATCTCTGTATCAATATTTTATATTGAGAATTGATATCCTTGTCTTAACGCTCCATTGTCTAGAAAACTTCGTGGGCAGTGTGAGAGATTTCAACCCCATTATGTGGGCCATAGCTGAGTGAAATTCAAAGAAGAAGAAATCTAAAAAGAAAGAGGTTTTTTGTTTTATTTGGGACTGCAATTGCTGATTAGTTGACTGTCTCTTAAAGTAACTACAGTAGGAAATTAATTAATCGTCATTTCTCATTTTTGCATTGTAAAAATTAACCACTATTTGAAGCAAACAGACTATAGCAAAAACTAACTACAATTTACGTAGTGTCTTTAATTTATTGAATATTTTTCTGTCACTTGAATTGACTTTCACTTTTCAAATTTAAGTGCTGGCATTTATGCTGTTGTGGACCGTTGCAACTCTTTTAAGTGTTATTTAGTAAAACTACTTTGTTTAAGAACTATCTCATTATCAGAAATGATAAGGTCAAAATTCACCTTAAAAAGTAATAGAAACTTCAATATTGTATCAAAACAAAGACAAACTCTAGGATAAGATTCCTTGATAGAAATTCATGAGTTACATCATCTCATAATTGGAAAAGGGATTCTCCCTCATTAAAGAAATTTAGCAGGAGATAGAACTTCAGTTTAGCGCAAGTTAAAGAAAATATTGCCCCTCAGTGGTAACACATAGTAGCTATGATGTTTATGAAGTATTATTTTTTTCTGAATCAAATGGGGAATATTTTTGTTAACTTGCACCTGAATTCCAAAGGAAAATCAGCACCTATACAACATAGAAACACTTTTGTTACTGAAATGTGTTAAGAATAGTTAGCCGCATTGACGTCTTCAAGAACTCACTGGCACAGCAACTGAAAATAGATAGAATTGTTATAAAGCCATACATAATGTGTTAGCATTTTCGGTTCCAAGATCAGACTTGTGTTGATCCTTGTACCAGGGAGACCCTCCATCAGAATTGTTCTCAATTGGACTACTTTGATGCAAAGCAGAACCAAGGCCATCGGAAGCATTTGATGTCTTCAGTGAATTCCCTTCAGATGCACTATTGCCAGTTGTGGTAGCAGAGCAAGTGTTTGAACTCTTTTGCTCAGTGTGGATGAGTTTTCCAAATAACAAAATGTGGGGTGCTTTCGCTACTTCATTGGATTCCTTAAAACTTTGGCCAGGACTTCCCACAGTCAACAAGCAAGTTATATCAACATTGGTCTTAGTTGTGTTGCTCATGTAGGTTCTACAAGGAGGCCTAATAGGTTGTGCTGCATGGTCAAGCCTTGAGAACCCACCTAGAAGCATGTCTGGTTGAAGCTTGTTGAAGGGAAAATCAGATGGAGTTAGTCCAATTTGAGCATGCCTGGCTCCCTGTATGCCTGCAGAACTATTATTATCTTGAATGTTACATAGAGGGTTTGTATAATTGAGAAGATTGCTAGAGAATGATGACACTGGAAGTTGATTGATGACTTGAAAATATGGGTCTTGTAGAAACCGTTGTTTCTTTCTCGGAGGTGAAAATGGAGAGATATTGAAAGTAGGCATGTTTGAGACTAGTTCAACCAACCAAGGGTTTACACACTTCACATTTTGAAGTAAATCTGGTTCATCCCACACCACCTGAAACATGACATAACAAATAGAGCAATCTAGATTATTTTAAGCTAAATAACCAAGAAAAGCATGTAACAATAGTAATGCCAAAAGGTGAACTCCACCTTCCAAAAGTAAAATTCAATCAACAGTGCCACTCAATAACTTCCTGTCAAGGGTAGTACCCAATTCAAGCAACCATGGTACTTAGTAGGAAGAATTGTCAGCATGAACAGACACGCTTGAAATGATTTGCTACTTTACTACAGCTCAACAGTTATTACTATTAACCGCTATTCTTTTATTCAACCGGACCCAAAACATTAAAAAAAATCCATTTATAGCAAACAAACATATATACTGTAAATTTAATTGTTGTTAATTGGCACAAGAAGTCAATATCATCCTGTAACTATTTTAATAATAAAAAGGCGACAGAAATGAAGAAGATAAACAAAAGCTTTGCATCAGAAAAATCTGTAAACTCTGTTCCATCTTTTTGAAGCATTGTAACAGTACATTATAAACTTTTTAGAAGGGGGTAAAAAAGTAAAAAGAGTTAACAAGAAATCCAAGAATAGTTAACAATTCAAGATGCAATATCAAAATCGGTACTTAGTCTCTGAGCAAAGAGAAGTTGAGGAAGAGGGATCTGAAAACAATGGTATTATAATAGTAAAAGGAAATCGATAGAATAATGAAAATGGTGTACCTGCAGAAGGCGCCAAGGAGAATCAGGCCAACGAATGGGATCTGAAACTTGAACAGAAGATATGGTTCCCATGAACCAGCTGATCCTAGAAGAATCCTCAGTTTCGAAGGGCATTTTGAATCTCATCCCAGAACACCACTGAATTTGCATTGCAGTCTTCACAGCAGAAGACTTAACACAAAACTCTGGAGTACTAGCCCTTGGATAGTACACAACCTCAAAGGGCCTACCATTAACAGCACTAGTCACAGCCTCAACAACAGATTCAGCAGCCACTCTTCCCACCATCTCATCACCACCTTTTCTACCACTCACCAAGTTGCTCTCACCACACAAGAAACCAGAACCCCCACCAAAGAGAGGATTCCAACCAGAAGAAAACTCAGTTCCACCACCAATCCCCTTCTTAGCCCTCCTTATCCCAACACAAAGATCCCCATTTTCTGCCCTCAGAAACACAATAGAATCACCAGCAACAAGCTTCTTTTGGTTCACAAAATTGCTCCATCCAGTGGTCAAAAGATGCCTCCTAGGTGTCCCTCTATAGATATGCCTGAATTTCCAACATTGTCCATGCATGTCCTTTGCAATGATGGTCTGAACTGGAGGTTCAGCTGAATAATCCAACCTTGGGAAGATTGTTTCCGCACAGTAACGAGGCACAGAGAATCCTCCACCGTTGTTGGCATCAGATTGTGTCAGTGTCTTGGCAAAAGAGGTGGGTGGTTTCTCTTGACCCTCCACTCCATTGTTTCCAAAGAAACAATCATCTTCCCTGTCCAATTCTTGTTCTCTCAAAGGGGTCAACCTCATTTTCACATACACCTCATCTGTGTCAGGGTCTGCCATGTATCTCATAGCAGAGAGTCTACAAGGGATGAGTGGTGGAACACGTGTTTGGCCAAAATCCACTTTCCCATGAGCGTGTTCTGCGTGGCCCTGTGGAAAGTAGAAGACTTTTGTGTTGAGAGGTGGCATTTGAACCATGGCACCAGCACAGGCATGCCATAGTTGAGAATCTAAGCACCTTTCTGAACCCCTCTCAGTGGAATCCATAACCATGAACATGTCAGGGGAAAAATCCTTGCTTTTCACAAGAAAAAAGACAACCCAGTAATATGGGATGAATTTTGAGAAAACCCAGAAAAAGGTCTGCAGGAAATGATGTATCTATTGTAAGGGTTGGTAGCTAAGAAGAATAGATGAGGATAGAATTGCTCTGAATGAATTGCAGAGAAGAAAAGGAGAAGGTGGTTAGAATGTGACGGTTGTAGAAAGAAGAAGAAGCTAAGATTGTAGTACAGAGAAAAGTGAAAGTGTTTTTGATTGGAGGATGAGAAAAAGGAGAGAGAGAAAAGAGAGAGTGATGGGGAAGAGAAAGGAAGAGTGGTGAGTGAGAAAGAGAGAGTTGGAAGTTTAAAAGTAGACGAAGACACACACTACTCTCCTCTCTCTACTCTCTCTCTCTCTCTCTCTCTCTCACTGTCACACGCGTCTATGGTTCACTCAGTTGCCGACCACAACATCAACCACCATGAATTGAAAATCGATATTACAGTTTACATGTCACATAGTTTTAAAACAAAATATAAATGAAAAATAGAACATTATATCATTATAATTGACATGTGAGATAAATATATTTTATATTTTTATAAATATACTAAATTTTAATTTTAAATATTTTTAAATTAATTTTAATTTTTATAACTTTCAAAATTAATTTATATCATAATGTAACATCAATTTAAACAAGTTATACTATAACTATGTGTTAGTTAAGATGATTACTAACGTAGTTTCGCTAGACGTATCAAAATTAAAATCTTTAAAAATTATGAAGGTTAAAAACTAAAATTAAATTTATCATATTATTTTTAAAATTTAGTTTGTTATAATATTAATACAATAAATGCATTTTAAAAACTTTAACTAATGTTATTTTATTGACATCAATTTTAAAATATATTTTAAACACTTAAGAAATATATTAAAAATATGATTTATTTAATTGTTGTGTTCTTTTATATAATAATTTTTTAATAAAAAATATATCAATTTTAGTTGTTTAAAATTAATTTTAAATGCTAATTTAAACATTTGCTAAATTAATACAGTTTATTATAATAGACTGAAATATTTATTTGTTCCATAAATATGTATTTGATATTTTTCTTTCGTTGTCAACAACTCAAACTATTTTTATGAATTCTTTATTTGATTATTTAAAAATTGTCCTTAATGATATATAATAATAAATAATAAATAATAAAAATTTATTTAAAATTATAATATTAATATTATATATTTTAATAAAAACTTATTATATATAAATGTTTATTATGTATACACACATTGTAAAATTTCTTTATTTTAAACAAGATGTAGTGATAGATTAAGTTACTACCTCTACCTAAAACAACTTGTTTTAAAAAATAGAAGTTCTTAAATGCTCGCCAAATTATTAGACCAATGGTTGGAGTCCACAAATTTTGCTATCCACTTCCTAGTAAATATCCCCTTAAGCATGAGACAGTGGCCCAATGCAAAAAGTGACAATATAAATTTTATAAGTAAAAGATATTGCAACTTTTATCTTTATCATAAATATCTTTACGTTTAAATTTGAAATTAACTATTTAATTTATTTATCTCGTTCAAATCAATTATCAATTTTTATTCATACATTATAAATATTAATTATTAAAAAATGGTATTTTTATGACAAAATTAAGTAAAATTATTTTTAAGAGTATTTTAACTTTAATTAATTTGCCGATATTTGGATAAATTGAGTACCTAGCCTCTTTTTTTACATAGTTTATGGTACATTCGAATGTATAGCATGTGATATTTGTCATTGTAATGTAAATATTTGTTTCTCTGATTGATATAGTCTTCATAAAATTTATCTTGTATGACTTGTATATCTATTCACGTGATTAAGATAGTGATTTTTTTTTTCATGTTAAATATTTATTTCAGACAATTTGCATATAAATATGCTCTCACATAAATTTTTAAATAATATGAAAATGTGAAAATTGTATTTTATGGTATACAAGAAACATCTGATCAAAGAAACTATATTTGAATATATTTTAGATAAATTTTTATATCCATCCCCTGCATTTATTTATTTATTTATTTTAATTTGATATACAAAATGAGATAGCCTTCGTGTAAATTTTCTTTTAACCTTCTTATTTTTGTTATGATTATTTTTATTTCTTTTTAGACTAGTTAACATTTTTTGGAAATATCGTGCTTATGCTTTGGCAAATTTTAACAAATAAAATAGGAACATAAAATTTCTCCTAAACGAAAAAAATATCATCGGTAAAAGGCTGTAATAAATAAATCACACAAGCTCCTACCACGAAAAGGAACCACATGCAAATTAACGCATACATTTAAAGTTACGAATATTGATAATGGTACTATATTTTTTAATGCTAACACTAATCATATCGATGAAACTATAAATGTATACAGATCATGCAATAAGAAAAGGAAGCTTTCAATGTGATTTATGGGGTCAAATACAAAGAAACACTTCTTACGGTACACAAGAAAAACTATATTAAATCATCTCCACAACAGCTTTGAGGGTTCTAAGAATAATTATTAGAAAATTAATAAATAAAAAATATAAATGATGTTAGAGATACATAAAAAAATTATTAAACACACTGTTTTTAAATTAATTTTAATTGTATGAAAATAATAGATGTTTTATTATATTATATATAATAAATACCTTATAAAAAATTTGTTATTTTTGAAATATTCAAATTTTAAGGACCAGTATTAATATTTTTTTATATTGAATTTTTTGGTAAAAAAGGTGTTATATTAAAAAAACATAAAGAAACTTTGAGTTCTTTAGACAATAGTTAACATTCGCCTCTTTCAACGAATATCAGAGAACAGAAACTTCCGGGAATTTGTGTACTAGCTTTTAATATTAGAATGGCAAGTGATTACAATTAATGCTGATTAGAAAAAAGAGGTTTATGAGAAGTGTCTTGAGTTTTAAATAAAAAAATATTTGTATTTAAAATCGTATTTATTTGTAAGTTTTATATTAATGGGTCAAAATCTTAAAATATAAAATGATTGAACATTTTTAATTCATAATTATATGGATTAATTAAAAATATTAAAAAAATTAAATTATACAATCCTAATTTTTACTCTCCTTTAAGGATGACAATTAATTGGATTTGAGTAATGTACTGTAATATTTATCTTTATACTCGCATTTTGAAAAAATTATTTACTTATTTTCGTATTGCCTAAATAACAACTCTATTGCTTATATTCAAACTCTTTGTGTAACTAAATTCCAATACTTATATCCATTATTCACGTATCGTTAATTAACTGAAATGGAATTTTGTTTATGTCAATTAATAAAGCAAAAATATAATTATAGAATTAAATTTATTTTAAAAATTCATATAAAAAAAACTACAAATAAAATTATCCATTTAAGTCAAATAAAATATAAAATAATACATGTAGGAAACTATAATAAAATTATTTTTAAAAAATTATTATATACTTATTTATATATATTTATTATATATACATATACACACATTTTATTTTATTTTTCAGGTATACGATGAACATAGGATCCATTCTTTATCTACTTCCTTATTTATTTATAGCCAAATGATCTTAAGAATCTTATTAACCAGTACTCTGTATTAGTTATATATATTTTTTGTATTTTTAATTTTACTTTTAAAATAATTGTTATCTCTAAATATATTTTGTATTTTCTCTCTCTATTTATTTATTACATAAATAAAATCTAAAACGAGTATAATAAAAATAGGATAATTAAATGTATTTTTAATTCTTACAGTAGAACTTGAAATAATTATTTTTGAAAGAAGGATTGTGAAATTACGTCTAAATTAATCCTAAATAATAAAAAGGGAGGAAATGTGTGTAGGTTTTAATGATGCAGTACTGAAATTAAGGGAAACGTAAAGTGATGCATTAACCAGAGGCTCTAACTCTTTGGCCCTACACTCACTAAGCATCGTTTCATTGTTTCATTGTTTCATGGTTTGGTTCCCCAAACCCATAAAACGAGGAGCGTGAGAGGACTTAATTAACTTGCAGATTAGTCAACACCGCTTCGAGGTTGTTGCTCTCAGGGATAACTTAACTTGTCCACATTATTTTAGTTCAGCACAATATCATATCATATCATAATAATGTGCTTAAGGATAAGATCACAATACAATTAATATTCTGTTCATAAGTGCATTCAAAATACTTTTTAACAAAAATACTATTTTATGTTTCTTCATTCGCATTTTAAGAATATTGATCAATACTTGTCGATTTTATTAATACTGGTTTTTAGGATAATTATTTTAAAATTTTCAATATTTATTATTACAGTGATATTTACCCAAAAACAAGTACGAGTTGGATATTCACCTGTTTATAGAAACTAGAGTGGTGAGGTTGATAAAATGAAAAGGTTTTAAAAAAGAGTAAGTAGACAAAAACTATTGAGGACATAATCTAGAAAATTGCAGGCATTGATTATACTAATTTTGATATTGAAAGTAATGGTACTAATTAAGAGGTACGGTAAGAGGACATTGATATATTGAAAGCGAAAATGCAAGGTTCGTAAGACAGCAACTACAGTTGCATGGAAAAGCCAAATTATACGGTGAGTTACTCATGTGGGTCTGGTTTTAAAGACAACGATGTTGTTTTCTTCACCAAATCAAAAAGGGGCAAAAAGGGCATTTCATTTTTTAATTGGCTGTGCTTATTTTATACATAACATGCCCCATGTAAGTGAACAAAAGTCTCAGAATTTTACCAAATACTAATTAATGAAGAAAAATCACATCAACTAAAAATAGCATTTTTATTTGTCTTTATTCATTATTAAAAAATGACACTTAATTAAACTGTTTTCTTACGGAACTTTTTTTATATATAGTTTTTTTTTTCAAAATTTAAAAAATATAATTTTTTTATAAAATTACAAAAATATAATTTTAAGAAAAAATATTATTCGCAATTTTTTAAACTTAATTATTTTTTTATTTTTTTATTTCTGAATATTTATATTGCACCAAAAATTACTTATGATAATTTTTGAACTTCATATTCTTGCAATTTTACAAAAAATTTCATATTTTTTATATTTTAAAAATAAAAATCATATTAAAAAAAAGTAGTTGTTTTCTTACGTGGTGGTACTTAGAATTAACTTAATTTAAAAATTATTTTATCATAATATTTGTTAACTCATTACTCTCTTTAGAATAATAATTTAAACTTTGAAAGTAAGATAAAATAACTCAAGGAAATTAAGTATTATATATTATTATTAAACAAATATTGAAAATAATTTGTAA